AGGTTCAGGGAAAAGCACGGGGGTGGGGCTGGGGCTGGGATTCAGGAGATTTATTATTCTGAGAGTTTGAGACATTTTATTGAAGGCCACTCCATAATACTAGATTTTCCCAACTATGTACATTATTTATAAAAATTAAAAATTATTTTAATATAAAATAACACTGATATTCTTTGTAATTTGTGGCATACACTTACGGCTGTTTCTTTGCTTAACTCAATATGAAGTTTTCTTGTTTTCTACTTATTTTAATCCTTTTCAATGGTTGCACTGGTATGGAAAGAAAAAAAAGTCTTCTGGTTTTAAACAGTGGGATAAATAAGATTCCATGAAGGTCTATACCCAAGGTATCAAGTTGGGCCATTTATAAGGAAAAGCTGAAGTTTAACAGGTCATAAGCAGAAGGCACAGGGCTTAGTCTCAGATTCAGGTTTGGTTTGGATTACAGCAGAGATATAATAAATAGGAATCAAAACAGAATCAGTGGTGTGAAGAAACCAGAACCCTGTGCACTGTTGGGAATGTAAGATGGCACAGCCATTGTGGAAAACAGTATGCAGGCTCCTCAAAAATTTTTAAACAATTACTACATGACTCAGATTCCAGCTTCTGGGTATATACCCAAAAGAACGGAAAGCAGGATCTTGAAGAGATAATTGTAACACCCATGTTCACAGCAGCATTACTCACAATAGCTAAAATGTGGAAGCAACTCAAGTGTCCACTGATAGATGAATGGTGGTTGCCAGGGGCTGGGAGGAGGGGGAAATGGGGAATTATTGTTTAATGGGTATAGAGTTTCTGTTTTTCAAAAAAAAAAGTTTTGGAAATTGATGGTGGTGCTGGCTGCACACTATGAATGTAACTAATACCAGTGAACTATGCCCTTAAAAAATGGTTAAGATGGTAAATTTTGTTGTGAATTTTTCCACAATTTTTAAATATTGGGAAAAAAATCCAACAAGATCAGTGCGCAAGATGAACTATCATTTGGACAATGAGCAATGGTCAGGATTTGAGAAACCACCGAAGGTGGACAGAAGACGGCAACATAGTTTGTATATTCCCTACCTCTGTTCCAAAGCAGTAAATATAATATAGATACCCTAATATACACACATTTACACGGAACTCTCAGTTCCCCATGACTGTATCTTGCTTTTGCAGTTAAATGTATTTTCTTTAAGGACCAACAATTACCCTCTTGTCCAAAAGTGGGTAAAGATCCCAATAACTGAATTACTGATAACTGAGGACTTTATCATCCACAGATCTTTTTTTTTTTTTACACACACTATTTTAAATAATTTGATTGACTACACTTTGAGGTTTTTTTTTAAGCTATTTACTCCCATTTTACAGATGAGGAAACTGCAGTGCAGACAAGTAAAATAACTTGCCTAAGATCATACATCTGTTACATCTGCAGAGCCAGTAAAACGAAAGCTCTGTTATAGCTATTTGTCTACACTTTCCTTTACACCTGGAGTATCACATGGAATGAACAGACCTACATCTAAAGTTTCAATAAATGTATTTTCCATATATGTAGTAGTATCATTCAAATGTATGTAGATAGGAATAAAAACTTACTGACTGTGGCAAATCTAAAGTTGCCATACAAACTTGGGTATAGCTGAAAGTACCCTTAAAATCCCTTACATCTCCCATGATTTTATATACTTAACCCCAAGCAGTGATTTCCATGCACACTAAAATTTGAGAATCAATGCCCTAAACCTATGAAAGGCACAAAAGGATGTCAGGGTATCCAAACAACTCTGCCTTTAAGATAGCTATGAAAACACTGGTGAATGGAAAATAGGTAGATATTGCTTCTTGCAATATTTACTTCATCTTATTTAAATATTTGCATTTTATACACTTAGTCAATCTTTTTTTTTTTTTTTGCCACACCACTTGGCTTGTGGGATCTTAGCTCCCCAACCAGGGATTAAACCTGTGCCCTTGGCAGTGAAAGCGCAGAGTCCTAACCACTGGACCACCGGGGAATTCCACTTATTCAACCTTATTATATGCTGCTGAGGAGATTAAAGAAGCTAGTAGAGTCATATCTTTCAGGGGAATTAGGTTTTAAAATTAGTGTGTAAGTTAAATATATTTGTGATGTGGCTCTACTTATTATGACTTTATATAAATTTTCTCAATGGATACTGAAAGTACAATTTCTACTGTGCAGAATTCAGCAAAACTTTTTTGCCTTTAGAAAGAGGAAAGTTCATAACTCTTACATTAAGTTACAATGCCAATTAAGGAGTGGGTGAAAAGAAAAACCACTACTGAAAATAACAGATATTCAGAAGGGTAGGAAGAAAATCCTATTCTAACAGTGTCACAAGGGCCAGTCAAAAAGCAAGTGATATAGAGAAGTCCTGGAGAAAGAGGATTGAGAAGAAAGGACTGGATTTGGTCACTGGTGATCTACAATAACAATTCTGTAAAACTGGACAGCAGAAGCCCCCGAGGAACTGAAGTGACTCCAACTTACAGTGATAAGCAGCAGTAGCATAACCAGACTTGCTAAAGATAGTTTTTGTTTTGTTTTCTTTAAAGCGGCCCTGGAAGGCTCAGTCAGAGATGATGCATTAAGTATAAGCTTAAGAAACTTTCATTTCCCCAGCAAACAAAAAGAAAATGGGTAGGGACACAACATAAGTGCTGGAAGGAAGATGGAATTCCACTGGATCCAGACAGAAGATTAGGTGCTGGCAACTATCTTCCCTCATAAAATGAAAGCGGATAAGAACACGCACACATACTCCAGATAAATCCACAAGAGAAAGAAACATAAAATTTTGGCAAATTCTGGAAAGAAAAATCTTTTAAGTGAACCATAGCCCAAAACACATGCTAGAGAATAGCGTTGCAAAGGTAAAGTTCAGATGTGGAAGACAATTCGAAAAACTCTAAATACCTAAAAAGAATTCCAGAAACAGAACAGAGAAAATGAAGGGAAAAAAAACCCAGTAAAGATAGCTATATGCTGTTTTAAAATCAGATATAAAACAAAATGACAGAGGGAAGCTTGAAAAAAGGGGTATCAAATATTTATATCAGTCACAGAACTTCTAAGACCCGAACTCTGAAACATATGAAGTTAAAAAAAAAAAAAAAAAAGAACTATCTCCTAAACTAACAGGTTTGACAGATGATAAAACCAAGATATATAAATTTAAATAACCCAATAAACAAGCTCAATCTAAAACACACATACATACACACAAGTTGGTACACAAAACACTGTGAATAAACCTAAATAAACCTTCTTTTCAGGCACATATGGATACAGACAACAAAAATCTCTCAATACAGACCAAGAAGTAAAATTACACAAGGGACATTCTTAGCCTACATTCAGTTAAATTAAAATTAATCACAAAAAGATAACAAAATCACCACCACCATGCCCAACCCTATCTACTCAAAATTTTTTAAAAGTCTGCTGGGAGAAAAAGTCCCACTAAGCTTAAGACTCAAAAGAAAAATTATAAGCTATTTAGAAATTGAATAATAATGGGGAACACTACAAAACAAAACCTTTGGAATGTAATCAAGCCATAGTCAGAAGAGAAATGTATATATTATTAAAGACAGACTAAAGGTAAATGAACTGAGTATATACCCCAAGAGACTAAAAGAAGAATTAATAAATTCAAATAAATTTGAAAAAAGGAATGAAGATTATTGCAGAAATTACAGAAATAACATGTAAGAACAACAAAATTCTCAATCAATAAAAACTAAAGCAGGTTCTTAGTCAAGAAAATCCAAGGATAGAGGGAAAAAAAAAGATTAAAAAAATTTTTTGAACCCAGAAAAAATAAATATATAAGAGATGCTGCAGAGGAGATTTACGAAATAAAGTAGCCTACTTGAACAAATTTTTAAATCTAGACATGCACAACTGCTAGGGAAAACATGAGTTACCAAAATTTCACTTCAGGAAGACTGAAAAACTTGGATTAACTAACCATAAAGAAGCTAAAAAGATAATAAAAGCTTCAGCTCCTAAAAAAGCTTTTAGGCCCCAAAGGAGTAAGGGTAAAGGAGTGAGGATAGACTAAGCCAGTGTTCCTTATCTAACAGCAACAATGAGAAAAAGCAATTTTAAAGAAAAATAGAGTTTGCAAGATTGCTGTGAAGTAAACTTTTACTTATGGATATAAAAGACACCAACCAACCCAATTCATGGATGGAAAGATTTCAATATCATAAAAATGACCATTCTCTCCAAAAAAAAATTTCTTTTAATTCAATGCCATTCCAGTAAAAATCCTAAGGACTTCTCCCAGAATTTGGCAACCTGATTTTAAATTCATGTGCAGGTGTAAAAAGACAAAAATAGCCAAAACAATTTTGAACAGTAGTAATAAGGGAGATGCCCTACTATAAAACTACAGTAATGAAAATATACTAGTTGCAGGAGTACTTACATAAACTAATGGAAGACAAAAGAGAGCCTAGAAACATAAATATTATATTATTTTAAATATATTCTCAACATATAAAGGCACTTGGTATATGACAGCTATGGCATTTAAATCAAAGTAGAAAGAATGAACTATGTAGTAAGTAATAGTGCTGAGGTGAATGGCTATGCATTAGAAAAAGATACAGTAAGACCCTAACTCACACCACACACAAAGTTAATTTCAAAGGGATTCAAATCTAAAAATTAAAAGCAAATAACAGCTCTTATACACTGCTGGTGGGAGTATAAAGTAAGACAACCACTTTGGAATGTAATTTGGCAATACCTAGGAAGTAGAATACCCATATTCATTAAACTCAACATTCCCATTCAAAATAACCATTTATGAGACAGGAAGGATGCTCACTTTGGCCCTGGCTGTAATAATGAAAGTGTAAACAATCTGATAATAAGAATAAAAATATGAAAAATGATTAACTGCTATAAGAATGGATTAACTGTGGTATAGTCAAACAATAGAATACTTTACAAAAGCAATTAAGAGGAATTTACAGAACTTCATCAAATTTAATACATCGTGATTTAGGAAGCATCCTAATTTCAGAGATGTTAAATCGTGAAAATATAGAACAACATGTAACAAACATGGCTATACCTATACCTCAAAGACACAGTACTGAGTAAAAATAGGTTTCAAAATTATAGATACAATGGATTTTTTCCCATAAAATTTAAAAATATACAAAATACTCCTATGCACTTTTTAAAATACACATATGTAAAAGAAGGATGAAAACATGCATGGGAATGATACACATTAATATCAGGATATTTACTGCTTAGTGAAGAAGGGGGGTAAGAATCAAAAAAGGTTATAAGCTTTAACTATACCTTTTAGTATTTTACATCTTCTTAAAAAAAAAACAACAGGAATGTAGTTTTTACATAAAGTGAGTTTCTCCTCCCCATGAAAGGACAGACACAAATGCAATCACTCCACATCATCTATGACACAATTATGGAATGTTTATTCTTAAAACACAATAAAGAAACACTGCTTCCTAAACATTCCTGAGAGATTTTACTGCTCACTGGCAGAGGGAGCAGACAAAGTGTGTGTGTGTGTGTGCGCACGTGCGTGCCTGTGCACATGTGCGTGCATGTGTGTGCGTGCATGTGCGTGTGTATGCGCGCATGTTGGGGTGGGGGGGAGTTATCGAGAATTGAAACAAATATGGTGAAGTATTAACATCTTTTAAACTTGGAGAATGAGATCATGATGGTCTGCTACATTATTTCCCGGATGCTGGAAATATTTTTTACTTGAAAATTGAAAAAATTAAACTAAGAAAAGCACCATGTACAATGTAAAATGTGAGCTCTATCAAGATTTCAGAAAGTAAATAATTCCTACATTATATAAACTGTTTCATAGACAAATAGAGAGACCTTTCCAACTTAATTCTAAAGGCTGGAAAAACCCTTCATACCAATACTGGAGTAAAGAGAACACAACAAAGAAAATCACAAACCAATCTCAATACCCGACATGAATATAAGGATAATGAGTAAAATGTTACCACGCTGAATCTGATGGCATGACCAAGCTGGGTTAATCCTACCAAAGCAAGCAAGGATGATTCTATTTATGAAATCTATTTATATAATTCATTACACTGACAATTATATATTTTTTAAAACATAAACTGCCATGCAAACATGGAATTCAACACACATTCCAGATTTTATTTTTTAATAACTCTGATTAGACAGTAATAGAAACTTTCTTAAACTGAAAAAAGACAGGCTGCTTTCTATTTAACAATGCTCTGGAAGTGCCAACCAACACAATTAGACCAGAAAAACATGATAAATAAGTATCAGAACATCTGAAATACTGACAAAACTCTTTGCAGAGAGTGTTATCTATCTAACAAATCCAAGACAATTAAATGAAGAAGTCTTACAACTAATAAAAAGTTCAGCAAAGTGGCTGAAAACATACACAGTGGGTATAACCAGTTAGAAAATAGAATAACAATGTTAGCAATAACAATAAAATTCATAAAATATATTTTTTAAGATGCAAAGCCTATTCTTATGAAGAAAATAGTAAAACTATATTGAAAGGAAGGACTTTAAAAAAAATCTCAGTGGGCAGACTCAATATTGTAAAGATGTTGATATTTTGAGTAAGAGAAAATGACAAGAATAGCCAAGAATAACAAATAAGACATTGTTAAAATTAAAATTTAGGAAAATTTCTCAGACCAAATATAAAAACTTATTATATAGGTATAGTAATTACATTATATATTGGTTATAGGCAGAGACAAAGAGATCAATGAAACATGAGTCCAAAACCAGGTCCAGGTAGTAAAGATATTTACATCATGATACCTGTAGCATTTCAAACCAGTGGAGATAAAGGAAACTACACAATAAACTGTGTTAAGAAAAGTAACTATACACTTAGGAGAAAATTAAGTTAGACCATAATTACACACAATATACAAAAGTAGTCCCCAGGTAGAGTAAATGATTTAATGTTAAAAAAAAAAAGTGTACGTATTAGAAAACAGGAAAATAATTTCAAAATCTTGTAGTAAGCACAAAACTCAGAGGCCATATTGAAAAATACTGACAGATTTGAGCTCACAAAGAGGAAAAACTCTCACATTATATGACAGACGACACCACTAAAAAAACCTTAAAGATGGGAATTCCCTGGTGGTCCAGTACGTTAGGACTTGGTGCTTTCACAGCCTTGGCCTGGGTTCAACCCCCTGCAGGGAACTAAGATCCCCCGCAAGCTGTGCGGTGTGTGGCCAAAAAACAAAAAAAAAGCTCATTGATAAGTGACTAACTAGAAGATATCTTCCACGGACTTAACGAGCAAGTGAATAATGTGAGAATATGTAAAGAGCTCATGGAAAGATCGTAAGCTCACTTTTAGCATATATGCTAGCCAAAAACTACAGTATATTTTTGTAACAAAATGTAACATGGTGTGGCTAAAGTCCACAACCCATCCCTACCTCCTTCCTTTTTACCCAGAGATAAACAACAACAATGATAAAAAGACAAACAGCTAAATAGAAAAATGCGCAAAGAATATGAACAAGGAAATCTGGCACTTCAGCACAAAGACATTAACAGGAAAGATCATTTACTGCATCATTTGTAGCAGTGAAAAATGTAAATAACCCAAATGCCCATCAACAGAACAGTGATTAAATAAATCATGGCATATGTATACAATGAACCTTATGCAGTTGTTAAAAGGATGCAATAAACTCATATGTGCTGATAGCTTTATAAAAACATTTAGTAGAGGAAAAAGTTGTAGAAGGGTATAGTATGGTCCCACTTACATAAAAACAAGATATACAGGTATATATAAGCAAGGAAGTGAGACTGAAATCCTGATCAGGTGAAACGAAGGGTGATTTTCATATTTTGCTCTGAATGCCTGTGTTGTTTCTACCTCCTTTCTATGGGAAAGGATTTAGGAAGTACCTGTGTAAGGTTTTAAATCAAAAACGACGTTCAGCTGGCTGTTACTTACTGTGAACGTTGTCTGTTTATTTGAATAATGGAACTACAGAACTCAGGTCTAACAATTACTAGTTATGAACAGTTTGAGGCTTAAAAACAAGGTAATTGCTTCTTCAGAGCAAACTACTATGCTAGTAGTCCCTTAGACTATATTGTAGTCCCTTAAACTGTATTACACACCCTTCTAAAGCTGTCATGTGAAAAGTCCTAATAATCTCCTAGCTTCCTTCTTTTGCTCTGAAAATCCATCGGTAGCTCCCTTAACCGGCTTTGTAACTCAAAGCCCTAAACTATGTTCTCCCAAAATACTTCTGCAAGAGCATCTCCCCACTACCCAACCACAACGCAGATAAAGTTCTCCCCTTCAGCCAAGTTGATCTCAATTCCCAAATGAACATGTGTGGTATGCACCCAAGCTCCAAACATCCACATACTATCTATAAGGGGCTAACAGTATTATCACCTCTGCAGGATTTTTTTCATAACTAGGGGCATCCAAGGGGCATACGCAGAAGACTACCTAGTGAACCAGTTAAACCCATCCACCAAAGAATGTAAATTATGTAAAGTAAATAAATTTACATTTTTATCCATCACTATCTAAGATTTGTCTGAAGCATTTTATATGCTTTCAATAAATAGAAAGCAGCCTGGGTTTAAGTAAGTTATTTAAATTCTAGTCCAAACCAATGGCATAAGTATTACTTCAGACCATCAACTCTGGCTCTACTCTGTGACCTTTGGGCAAGTCTAGGTTTCTTTATAAAATGTTGATAATACACATTTCTCACAATGGGAGATAATGTAGGGAAACAGGTAACAGAGTATCCAATAAAATGTGGCCAATGCTAGGTTATCACCTTGACTGGGAAATTCCAACATAATTTGAGAATTATGTCACTACTTCTTTAAGACTTATTAATATTTATTCAATCAATGTTGGTTTGATGATTAATATTTGAGGTAGTACCGAAAGAGCATAGCTTTGGAGTAAAACACATGTGATCGACCCCTCAGTCATCACGTTAGAGATGAGGAATCTTGAGTAAACCATTACAATCTCTGACCCTCAGTTCCCACATCTGTTAAAGGGCATACCATCAATGACCACAGAGCTACAGTGAGGACTACATGAGATGACAGTGTATGTAAAGCTTTTAGTAAGTTTATCTGGCACAATAAATTAACAGACTTCTTCGTCTTAAATCAAACAATTTTTAATGTCTTATTTATCTACATTTTAATAAAGTAAATTTAGATTATTCAACAAACGTTTTTGAGTGCTATGTACACTAGGCACTGTGCTGTGTGCTAGAGATAAACTAGTAAAAAAAAAAAAAACACCACCTCTATCTTCATGTAGTTTACAATGTTGGAGGCAGTAGGACAAGCGTTAATCAAACAATTCAAATGCCAACTGTGCTAATAAGCTCTATAAAGAGGTAAACTAAGGGGGCGGATAACAGTGGGGGTTGTCCTGATCACAGAAATCTAGAAAGGCTTCCTAGGGAAAATTCTTACTTGTAGTGTATGAAACAACTAGACGCAGCAGAAAAAGGAAGAGTGCTCCAGGCAGAATGAATAACTATTATTTTATCTTTTGAATGTCTATATACCTTTATATGCACCCTAATAACTTGTACCTCTGGCAGCTAGGTATAAGGGGACTGAAAGAATAGCCTAGCTGACAGAGACTAAGAAGAAAAGACTGGCTAGATAGGACTGACCAAAGATGCTGAGCTTTGTAGGGCACATTATCCTAAATGCAATGGTGTAGTGTTATGGGATTGGAGGGTTTATACTGTAGGGTTGTTGCTGTTGCTGCTGCTGACAGGATCACTGTATTTCACAATATAGTCTGGCTACACTGTGAAAATAAATTTGAGGTCAGGCAAGAGCAAATGTGAGCAGACAAGTTTGGAGACAAAGAAATGAGAACTACTTTTTTTTAATACACTGATGAAAAAAAGTAGAAAAATTCCAGGAATAATCAGAAGGTAAAATCAACAGGACGTGATGACACAATGGATATGAGCATAAGGAAGAGGAGTTGGGAGGTAATTTCTAGATTTCTGATCTGCATTGCTAGCTGAATGCTAGTTCTATTTTCAGATATATAAAGACGACCAGATCCAGGAAGGAAAGGTTATGCACTCAGTTTTAGACATGTTAAGTCCAAAGTATTTTTTTTTAATTAAAAAATAAGAAAGAAAAACAGGTCCAGATCTTGCCACTCTTCCTACTCATCAAAGCCCTGCAGTGGATTCCCATCACTTTCTGAACAAAAGTCCCAAGAGGCATACAGGTATGATCTGATTCTTTGCTATCTTCTGAATTTCTCTCCTACCCTTTTATCCCTTGGTCACTTTCACTCCAGAAACACTGCCTTCTTGAAATCCTTGATGTACTTATTCTTCCCTAAGGACTTTTGTATGTACTCTTCCCTCTGCCCTAATACTTTTCCCCCCCATATGGCTTGATTCCTTCACTTAATGGAAGTCCATGATCAGATGTCACCTTCTCAAAGAACCTTCTTTGCCTGTCCTATGTAAAACAGTCTTCCTGCTGAGAGGCTGGGCTGGAGAGAAAAGCTGAATGACATCTCTGGTAGTCTTGCAAGGCCTGTCACATAATACAAGTCTTATTCCCAAGACTTTTGAAACAAGTTTGAGTCTAACAAAAGCTGCAACCCAAGCCCAACTCCATGGATTGAGGTAATCAAGCCCTAAAATGCCTAACAGAAAAACAAGGCAAATTCTCTCCTGGTGGAAAATGACATCAACTTCAATCCTTCAGTTCTTTTATAAACATTCTCCTGCAGAAGGGGAAAAAATTAAAAGCCCTATAAAGTGAGAGAAAGAAGTGTGACCAGGAAAAATGTGACTGGTAATGAAGAAAAAAAAGAACTAGGCAATGGGATCAGATCCACAGATGATGCAGATGTTAGACTTAGTTATATAATTCAAATGTTTGCCAGCTGTATTTTTTTTAAATGGGAGGAAAGAGTAAAAAGACAGACATTCAAAAGAAAAATGAAATCTATAAAATATAACTGGACATTGTAAAACTAAAAAATACAATATTTGAAGTCAATTAATTGGGTTGATTAAATGGAAGACTGCACAGTGCAGAAGGCAGGCTTGATAAATCTGCAAGATGGGTCAACAGAAAACACCCAAACAGATGCACAGAGAGAAAAAAAAAAGCAGAAAGATCAGGGAAGAAAATAAAAAGCACATGGGACACAAACAGTGAAGTATATTTATAACTGTAGTGTCAGAAAGAAGTGATAATAGAGTAGAAGCAATATGTGAATGGATAATTTTTCACAACTGATGGAATACTTCAACCCACAGATTCAAGAGCTCAGTAAACCCCAAGCATGATAAATAAAATGAAAAACATAAGTACGCTCAGCACAGTCAAACTGCTAAAAACAAAGATAAAGAGAAAATCCTAAAAGCAGCCAGAAAAAAAACACACATTACCTACAAAGAGCAAAAAGGTTTTAAGCTGACTTACAACAAAAAATATGAAAATCAGAGGACAACAGAATGCTAACTTTTAAGTTGCCAAATAAATAAAACTGCCAATCTAGAATTCCATAGCCAAGGAAAATACCCTTCAAAAATGGTGTGATTAAGACCTTTCAAACAAACGCTGAATGAGTTAACTGCCCCCAGGCCTGCAGCATAAGCAATATTAAAAGTTCTTCAGGCTTAAGAAAAATGAATTGAGATGGAAGCACAAAACTACGAAAAAAAAAAAAGTGCAAAGAAAAAATGTATGTATAAACAAGTAAGAACACTGACTATTGAAAGCATAGATATTCCGACATTTATAACCACAAAATATATAACAACTATAGCACAAAGAGTAGAGGTGCAGCAAATGGAATTGAACTGTTTTCAAATCCTTGCATTGTTCAGAAGGTGGCAAAAACATTAATATAGCGCAGACTATAATAAGTGAAATACAGATATTATAATCTGTAGGGTAACCACTGAAATAATAATACAATCGGGTGTAACTGAAAAGCTAATAAAAGAGATAAAATAGAATAGTAAGAAGTACTTTACCTAGCCAAAGGAAGGTAGGAAAAGGAGAAAATAAAGGAATAAAGAAAAAATTGGCAAAAAAATAGCAATAAAAGCTACTGTATCAGTGATTATACCAAAAATAAATAGTCTAAACACTCTAATTAAAGAACAAAGATTCTAAGATTGGATAAAAGAACAAGACCAAAGTATAAAATGTTTACATGACATGCACTTTTAAACATAAGGACATAAACAGGTTGAAAATAATGGAACAGAAAAAGTTTTGTCATGCAAACAATAGTTAAAACAAAACTGGTATGGCTATATCAATTATCAGACAAAGTAGGCATGAAGTATTCATACAGCTAACAAATGATGTTTTATAATTATAAGTGTCACTTCATCATAAAGACATTAACAAACCTAAATTTTACTGAATAATGCAGCTTCAAAGTATATAAAATAGCTTCTCCTCCAATCATTTCTACTCTCTATCCTGCTTTCCTTTTCTAATCTCCATACTTTTCACAGTATGACATTATATATTACTTATTGTTTTCCTTAGTCCCCCACCTCTTTGTGGAGAATGTAAGCTCCACAAGGGCAGAGACTTATTCTATCCTGATCACACTATATCCCCTGTAACTAGCCTAGCACATAGTAGGTACTCAATAAATATTCACTGAACAAATTAATAAAACTGTCACTACAGTAACTTATTTTCTTAGTGTTTACTTTTAAAGTTTATATTATACATTTCTTTTCTTCAGTTATGCAACCTTTTAAATAATACTTAGTAAGTCTCTGCCAGCCAAGGTGTTGCATGAGAAGTTTAAACAAGAAGTCTGAAAAATGTTACTAGGAAATATATTTCCTCTTTATGAAACAAAGCCTCCAAAATTAAAAATCACTAAAATGTGCCTTCCTCCATTTAGTAAACATATTTAAATATATATAGATAGATTCACATAAATAAAATAATACAGTTATATATTAGCTTTCATGTTTATTCAACTTCACAGAAAATCCAAAACTGTGTCTGAAAATTGGTTATCTATCTAAATACCAACTGTTCATTACGGTGACATAATACTATGTGGTAGGGGAGATATGCCTAAGTTAAACAAATTCTTAAATTCCTGACATTCTTTAAGTGGGCAAAAGGAAAATCAAAAATCAAACTTACAAGTTATAAGAAAATACAGAAAGTAATGTAACCTTTAATACCCGGAACAAGTTTTACAGCCACATTTGTAATTTACATATACAGTGGAGATCACTGAAAAAGCTTCCTGTTGCACTGCAGCAAGAAATTTTATTATAGTGTAGATTAAACGGATTTGCTACAGAGTGCAGCAAGACAACCTCACTGAAGAATCATAAGATCTTCATAATGGAACTTGTTACAGTGAGTTAAATATTTTCTTAACTTTTTTATACAGTATATATTTTCAAAATGAACATTATCACTGAAGAGTTTGCTAACCACTGTTAGCAATTAACGTTTTACACATACTTAATTTTACTTTAGTTACAGTATGTGGTTCTCCAAATGTTAGTACATGAAATGTTAAGTTTCAACATAATGAGATAATCCCCTAAGATGACTCAGGACATCAAAACTTTGATCATTATTGCACCTATTTTTTCTACAGAAAAATGGAAAATTTACATCATAATCCTCCCAAAAAGTGAACAGACAAGTTATAAAATCACAGACTCACTGTCATTGAACAAAATCTACAATGAACATTTTTTGTGAATTGATGTACAGAATTAAATGTGCAGTGAAATTTGGTTAACTATGATCATGCAAATAAAAATCCTCCACAATCATTTTTTCACTGTTTTATAAAATGGTCTTAAAGATATACTCCCATAAACATTTCCGGTGCAATTTAGTCAACGACAAAAATACAAAGCTATCCCTTATTCTTTATTTTATAGATTTAAAAACATGCCTTTGTACTGCTGAAATAGAAATAGCGTGTTTGGGAGAACTGAGCTAATGACACATTTAAAAACCAACTGTATCTTGGTCCAACATTAGCTGCCTTGATATACAGCAGCCTCCCATAATCACTGGTGTCAGTACTGTTGTAGATGAAGAATAGTTAAATATTGAGAGATCAAGACACAATTCAAAACTTTTTTTTAAAAAATAAAAGGCCGTTTCATAAACATGAAGAAATCTTCAAAAGAAAAATAATCACATCAATTGTGATATACACTGGAAAATAGTAAAATGTCACTTTCCAAAATAGTTTCTTTATTATATCCCCCATCTATTATAACCAACTTGGAAATATACCTTAAACATAATGGCATATTAAATGAAAATGCTCCATTATCCATTGTGATAAATTTAATAAGTTAGAATATGATTTTCTTTTCTGATGGTAACCATGAAAAAATGAAAGAACAGCACCTGAAATACTAAAATGAATTTAGGAAAGCATTAAGTTGTAACCTATATGTTTTGGTTGAAAATACAGTTCATAAAACTGTATAAAGGATGCTGCCTTTGTTTCTATATTTTGTAGATTACAACAAAGAAAAAAGATATGCTCTAAACCCAAATATATTTCCACTTCTCCCAATCTGGACAAAGTGGAATTCCATTCGAAGTTCATAAGATTGTGAACCTACAGTAGCTCATATAGTTGGACATATCACTCCCACCCTGCCCCTCCCCCCCCAGAAACAATTTTTGGCTCCAAAATAAAGTACAATAATAAACTCTTGATGAAAAACTATGTTATGGGGCAATCTATCATATACTATGGCTAAATACGAATTTACAGAAAAGAGCACATCCCATTTTCAGCACTTTTTTTCATAAACATGCAACTCACTATAAAATACAAAACACTTGCTTTCAAGAACAGCTTTATAAAGACACACTGCATCAATAAAATTTTTTTCTTTCTGATTAACTTTATACTGTTATGGAGAACTGAAACACTTCTAATGTGTATATATCAGATTTTATATTATAGTGTAATAATTTGCATTTTCTGAACATAATGTTCAAGAGGAAATATCTATACACAATAACATTCTAGACTATTAAAAACTAATTCAAACTGCAGAATTTTATTGATACAGTAGATTAATAAAAACTGAAAAGGGATGATAAAATGGGATAAAGAACTCAGTACATTATTTTTATAACACACTCTTTAAAATTATAATATTTTAAATCTCTCTCTTTTTAAAATTTTCCTTGCCATGAAAGGCCAGAAAATTCTGGGACCAATACTGAGGTGTAAAATAATCAAACAACTTCAGGACTATTCCACAGTTTGCATGGCGTCCTCCCATCAGAGGCATTGTTCGGGTGTAATGGCAGACAATTTAGCACCTCTGAAGATTAAGGGTGCCCAGGAGTAAACACTAGGTAAGATACGCAAGGGAAAGAGATCACTTTAACTCTCCAACAAATTGTGACATCAAGAAAATGACACCATTTGTTGAAAAAAAAATTTCACAGTAAAACTGCAGAGAATACAAATACAAACACTGACAGATTACTGCTTAAGATCTATCCTAACAAACTCTTTTCAAATCAATAGATCCAATAAACAGCTGGGTACTGTCAGTTTAAAGCCGCAGATAAAAGCTATACAAGCACTTTAGAAGTCAGAAACATTAAAAAAAAAGAAGAAAAAATATATTTACAAGTTTCTTCTTTATGTCTACATAGCCATCACACATTAGACTTTTTCACAAGACTCCATAGTCAATGTTATACCGTGCGCATGGCTAAAGCATGTGACCACAAATACATGAGGTCATCAGAGTAAGGTCCAACTGTCCACTCTTCAGCAGTCCCACTTTGTGCATCAAAGGCTTTACTCAGCCTGAAGCTTGACAAAAAATTATTTTTTTCAAAGCTTTCACATAGAAAGTTATTAATGACATTTGTTCATCGCCTTTCTCTTTTAGAACTTCGCCGCCGTACCTTGAAAGAAATATCACCAGATGCTTAATTAAAATGGGTACATATTAATTAGACACAGCAGTAATTATTATTTTTTAACCAATCATTACTCTTAACATGTTCTTGATTTTCTTTGCTTTTCTTTCCTCAAAACCTTTCTCCTATGTTCCTGCCTTGACATCACACATTTAGACGTACATAATACATGAACGCCCATAAACAGCCTTTCCCAGGATAGCAAAAGAGAGAACTATCTTACTTTTCTATTTAATAATTTTAAAGAGAAATGAACAGAAGTCAATGCCAACAGCAAGAAAAACAATTGCAAATATCACCTTTTTACTTATGTTTCTGTAGTAAAAGAAAACATTTAATATTTATGAATTTAGGCTTACAGCTGTCTTTCTCAGAAAACAGCTATTGAGTTTGGATCATAACTATCAAATACATATAAATAATCTGAAATTCAGACATATTACCACTTACTGGCAAGTACTAATGAAAGCATAAAACTTTAGTTCAAAAAAGATCAGTATTAACAAGAGGAATACAAATAGAACAGGATTTTAATTTAATTAATTTACAGTATAGTTTTTCTTTGATGAAGACATCAGTCACTATGTACAACTCCTCAGCCTTATTTTTACACCCCCCTAAAACCCTTTACAAACAAGCCCAACTAGTTTGAGACCATAATTCAACATATTTATCTGTGGTCTTAATTCATTCACATAAATGCATCCTGATGCAGATAGAAGTGCTGATTATATTAAATGGAACAGAGGGGCAGGGATCAACCCTGGGACCTGATCAAACAACACAGGTTTCTCAAACAAAGATGGCTGGCTGAGCTGACCCAAAGATTCAGCATTAATGTTAGGAAGATGACAGCTCTTACTTAAATGTGTTAATTATATTTCTTCCAAAGAGAAAAAAATCTGAGATGTAACCAGCAAAACCATTCATTTCTTTAAAAAAAAAAGTATCTCAGGAAGCATCACATTCCTACCTCTGTAAAAGAAGTGCGTATTACCAATTTTATGAATTCCAAAAGCTAATTTTAGTTAAAGACATGATTTTATTCTATACGACTAACTACTAGTAGCTAGTGGGAAACTCAAACAAATACTTACGAAACAAGAGTATATATAACAGATACAGGAAGAACTTAAATGCGTAAAGTGTTGACATCAGACTGCCACTTGTTCCTCTCTGCATTCAGTTTTAAACTGGGCATTTACACTTTCACTAGGCTACGTCTATTATTCTCACTTGGTTTCAGGTTTTCACAAAGGACATAGTCTCCACTATCTAAGCCGGCAGATGAAACACTATAAACTAATGAAGAAAAATATATAAATATTTAGAATTATTAAGTAACAGCAAGTGCTAAATGGATCTGACCAAATATTTACCAACTCTAAGTCTATATTCCATACTATTACACATGGCACTTTCATAAACACATACATTTACTGCAGAAACTTCTTCTTCCTCTGTTTCTTCCTGTGGATTATCATCAACAGGAGAGCTACCCTGAAACACATCTACTTCTTCACTTGAATCATTTTCTTTAGTAGCGGCTTGTTTGGAGCGTCCTACACGGCTAGAGTAAAACACATGTAAAATAAAATGAACACTCTGATCCTTAAGTGGTAGGTTACTTCATAACAGGAAATGCTTTAAATATTTCACAGGCTTTCATTTATTATCATTTTTATTCTCAATTACCTTGTAAGCCAAGAAATATTTTTCTTACATTCCGAACCCTAAACAAGCACTTAATCCTAGAATCTTACATATAAAAAGATCTACCAAATAACAAGTCAGTGTAACTGAGACCAATACCATAAAGGATTTTAAAACATAACCCAAAGTCTACTCTTCCTTTTACCTTTCCCAACTCAGTAAAAGGCTGAGTTGCTCAAAGCAGAAATTTTAAGAGTCTTTCATCATAGTCTACAACTCTTTATCTAGCTCTAAGATTCTACTTATAAAGAAATCTCAAATCCATTCACTTCTCTCCATCTTGTTACTACATAATTTCTAAACCATTCTCATCTCTTGCCTCTTCTCTCTACAAGTAATTTTTCAAAAATGTAAAAACAGCTGATGCCACGCCCCCTAGAGAGCCCCCTACGTACTGAGAGTAACTGCATAAACCTCCTTAATACAGTATATAAAGCGCTGCAGACAGGCCTTGCCTACCTGTCCATTCTCATCTCCTTCCACTCCCCAGTTCCCCACAACTACAACACAGCAATATCCTTGTCTTCCTTCAGCTCTCTGAATTTGCCAGGATTTTTCCCACTTCAGAACCTTCCCAAACAGTGTTCCCTCCACCTGAAATGTCCCTCTCCCTACTCTCTATCAGTCTAACTCCTACTACTCTCAAGGAACCAACTGGTCACTTTCCAAAGAGAAAAAAACTTCCCCAATTCCCCAGCCCTGTCCTTACATTCTCTTACAGCACCCTAACTTTATCCTTCAGGGCACATATCACAATTTACTATTCCATATTTATGTGTGATTATTTAATGACTACATGCCCATTTAGATGGTAAGTCCTATAAGGATAAGAATCGTGCCTGTTTTGTGCCACTATATTCCCTAGCACCTAGTACTCTCTGAAACAGGAGACACTCAAAAATATGTAATAGATGTCACCATTTAATTAAATGTATCTCTCTTGATAAATATTTGTTTTTTAACTAAGAACTTAGCCTCTCATTTCTATAAGCAATCGAAAATAGATATTGTTTAATCCATACTCAAACCAATTACTCAGATGTACTTGATTCAGTTTTTCAGAATTAACAGAAGAAAATACAAGGAAAATAATAGAATCTTTCTCAATTCCACTGAGGTCAGAACAAGAAAACAGACAAATCATAACATATGTTATTACACTACCTCTAAAAAGGGGCTTCCCAGTGAAAGGAAGTTAGATTGTTAAGACAGAATACAGAATCTCTTTCTGTATTGATTTTTTAACAGAAATGTTTGTTTGATTTAGAACACTCATGTGAGGAACTTGTGTAATTTTAGGAGGTAACATGATAAGCATCTAAGCCCTTAATTTTATGAGGCCCAAACAGAAACAAATTAAAGTTACAAGCATGAAAGATATTCACCCCGTTATATTCTTGTTATAAAATTAACCACGGGAATTTAAGATGCCTTAAGAATATTTTTTTATTGAGAAAACAATGATTTTCCATGGTTGAATACAAACACATTTATGAAGCTGCCACAAAAATGTACTTACCTTTACTTTTTATCTGAGGGAAAAATTATATGGAAAAAGGTAGGAAGTACTGGCTAGACACTCAGGTAACTTTTCCTCTTCCTATGGAATACACAGGAACAGGAAAAACTTTGAAGGTAACTGAGTATTTAACCAAGGTCTGTTGGCAACTCTGAAAAGTCAAGCTATTCAAGTATGGGATTACTTTCAGAAAAACTGCAAAATTTCTAGTAGAAGACACGCTATTCTATTTCTACTTTGAGGAGAAAAAAGGGCCAATTTACAAATTACAACACTGATGCCCCTGTCACTTTAATAAGTTTGGGCACAGATTTGTTACTGTAACTCTCCTATAAACATGTACTTGTGTGAACATCCAAAACTATCTATAGATACAGATGTGTTAATGTGATTAGAAAACAAACAAAATCAAGACATCAAAAACTTGAGATCACCATGTGATAATTTCTACAGATGTAATTTAAGAAAAATGATGCCTGTTACTTTCCGACATGGTTCAAAGAATCAAAGCAAAAGTGTAAAAGCTATTTTTTAAAGCTGTTGAGGAAAGACACGAAGAAAAACTGTAGCATGGAATGACAAGGTAACGTGGTCTATACTGTAATTATTTAAAAATACTTCATCATCTCTTCAGCTACCATAAAGTATGTATTGGAAATAATAAACTATTTGGTATTCATTTATAAAGTTTTGTCTAAAACCTGTAAAAATGTACAAATGTCACCAAAGGTTGACTGGGTATCAATCACCTAGGTAAGTTTACAAAAATGTTATGTTACCTAGCGTAATGGGGCTAAATATATGGGATTTAAATACAGCCCTATGTATATTTAGAAATTTATGAACCCCTGCAAAATAATTTGAAACTGGTTTGAAATTTAATATTATTTACAACTTACACATTTTTGGGGGGTTGTGATGGTGATGGCGTTTTTGATGGTCTTCCTCGTCCTTTCTGTGGTGTGGATTGTATGGATTCAACTGCACTAGTTTCAGGAGATTCTGCTCTGCTTTGGGGAAGACCCAAATGTGGATAGCATCAAATTATGATTTATAATATAATAACCAAATGTATGCAGTTTAGAGTTAAACATACTTACCTTTGTTGTGCTCTCCTTGAAGTTCGGTGCTGTTTACTTTTTGACTTCTGTTCTGTGTTTCCACTTTGTCTTTCTTCTTCTTCCTCTTCTTCTGCTGTTGAAGGTCCAGGTTTTTTTTTGCTTCCTTTTTTAGAAGTTTTCATTGTTGGCTCTTCTTTGGGTGTACCTCCACCAGGAGGTTTTGGTGGTCGGCCTCTTTTACCTTTTTTTGGTGGACTATTCTGTTCATCCTCATTTTCTAATATATCTTCTTTGAGCCTCTTTTCCTCAGGCCACTGCTGTTCATCTGATTCTGAAGCCGTATGGCCTCTCTTCCTTCCACGCTGACTGCCTTTAGGTTTCTGTTCCTGTACCAACTTAGTCAGGTCATCCATCCCTAATTTCTCCTCTGAATCTGTTACAGGTGTTTTTTTCCGGCTTCTAGGTTTGTCCAATTCAGACTAGGAATAAAAGCCACAATTTCAAATATAAAACTTAGTATGCATTGTTAGTATATGTATTTTTAAGAATCAAAAAAAAAATCTGTTATCCACTTCAGTCATAAAAATGTACCTAAATAAGGTATAGAGTTCTGAAGTACATCAGAACGATAACTATTTACTTACTTTTATTAATAATTTTCTAATTTAAAACACTATCTGGGGGTAAGAGGGTACGTTTTTATTCTTCCTCAAGCTAGAGAGCCTCAAATGAAACCCCTCAAGTTCAGTATTTGATTACATTATAAATTTTTGGTGAAGAGCTATTTCATAAAAAAGAACATTCTAAATTGAATGCTTAAATAATGGACAACTATACTGAAGTATAATGGATCTGTTTTGATAGTCAATTTAAGTAATCCTAATTTTACCACACAATGTATAATAACACATTAAATATCAACTATGTTATATATATATCATGCATACACATCATAAAAGAACTATTTTTATTTTATAAATGGAGGTTGCAAGATACAAAAATTTAAACATATTCATCATTTATTAAAAATTCTGAAAACACTTCTGAATCAAAGATACCACTTCTTCCCAGATACAACTAACAAAAAAAATAACTTAAAAATCAGTGACTTTCAAATTTAAAATAAAATACCAGTCTACATTCACTGAATTTAAGCACTGACCAGCAGACGGAGACTGAGGAAATTCTTCAAAGAAACCAAGAATAGTGCATATGAATTTATAATGCTCTCCACAGGTATACACATGTACATACGACACGTAATATTTATAGTGCTAAGTTAATTTCCAAAACGTTTGTTCCAGTTTACATTCTTAAAGAAACAGTGAAAAATTATCTAATTACTTATAATTTTTTAATATGTTTAATTAGTCACTTGTGTTTCCTGCCTGTGAACTGCCTAATTATATCCTTGGTATTATGCCCTTTGTCCACCTGTTTGTTGAAGTCTGAGTTTTAATCTAAATATTCTACACTTTTGTGTATATTTAAATTTTATTTCCTATTTGTTATGAACTGAATTGTGTCCCCACAAAATTCATATGCTGAAGTGCTATGATATGATACTACTTGGAGATGTGGCCTTTGGGAGGTAATTCAGTTGAGATAAGGTCACGAGGGTGGGGCCTTCATGATGGGATTAGTATCCTTATGAAAAGAGACACCAGAGAGATCTTGCTGTCTCTCTCTCCACCATGTTAAGAACACAGTAAGAAGGTGGCCATCTGCAAACCAGGAATAGAGCTCCCACCAGGAACTGGATTGGCCCACACTTGATCCTGGACTTCCCAACATCCAGAAATGTGAGAAAATTAATTTGTGTTGTTTAAGCCTCCCAGTCTATGATATTTTGTTATGGCAGACTGAGCAGACTAAGACATTATTGTATCTTGTTTCAGAATAGGATGCTGAGTTGAGGTTCTAAACTGTTTTTCCTACTTCCACTGCCAAACAGACATCTAATCAATTTCAAAATCACTTATTTGTAATGCTTCCTTTATTTTGCATTATTTTTCAAAAAATAATGTGGGCTTTCCTGGTGGCGCAGTGGTTGAGAGTCCGCCTGCCGGTGCAGGGGACACGGGTTCGTGCCCTGGTCTGGGAAGATCCCACATGCCGTGGAGCGGCTAGGCCCGTGAGCCATGGCCGCTGAGCCTGCGCCTCCAGAGCCTGTGCTCTGCAATCGGAGAGGCCATAACAGTGAGAGGCCCGCATACCACAAAAAATAATAATAATAATAATAATGTTTCTGGGCTAATGTAACAACAGTGCAATATTTTACTAATTATAACTAAGTATGTTTGTGTTTGGTTGGGCTGATCTTATTACTCCTCTTTTTCGCATCCATTTTATTCTTCCACATGGACTTAAAATCACACTGGAATTTTACAATGATATCTTCATTTAGAAAGAACTGTCATCTTTTTAACTCATTTTTTCCATGAAGGAATATGGCATGTCTTCTCTCTTCTGTTTCTCAGTTTTGGTATTTTCTCCACCTAGGTTCCCCCTACCTCTTTTTAAGGTTATGTTTAGATCCATCTATCTAATTTCGTTGTTGTAATGGCTAGTGTTGTAAAGTAAATCCCCTTTCCCCCAAGTGTACATCTGATATAAAGTAAAATTACCAGAGTAAAATTATAGTTACATATATACATACATACGCCTACACTCTTAGTTTTTCGACTGCTTCCCTTATTTTTTTTAAGAGTACAAAAATAAAAATAAATTTGTCTCTTCTTTTTCATTGTCATACTTCTGGGTCCTATTTAATGTCTTTCAGAACTGGTCAAATATTCTAGAACAATTTTAAACAACAGGTTGTTTTGTTCCTGATTTTTAGTAAGAATGTTTCAAGTATTTTGCCTTTAAGAATAATAATTTTGACTAAATCACTGACTACTGATTTAAACAGATAAAACTTTTAGCATGTTAATGAAGTATCTTTCTAGTATTAATTTACAAAGAGTTCATATTTGTCAAGAATGAATTCTAAATTTTATTTGTGTCTGCTTGGCATGATCTGAGATTATCTTGTTAGTATTTTTATTTGGGATGTTGATTTGCTTTTTATTCTTTTTAGCATTTAAATTATCCTTGAAATCTAGGGGAAAATAAAGCCCTATAAATAATTGGTTTTAATTTGTTACTATTTATCTAGAGTTTTATACATAAATTAAAAATTAACTGTCATTACTTAGAGATGGGAAGAGAGACATTAAATTAAAACTAAACCCTCCAATTTTCAACGCTACAATTCATTCTGACATCCAAAGATCTGAAAAAGTGGCTGAATTCATTTATGCTCTGGAAAAGGTTGTTGGCAAACCCGAAATTCAGTGTCTGTTTTCTTGAGAATATCATAAAATAATCTAAGCTTCCTAAAGCATTACATTCTCTAATTTTTCATTTTGTACCGTATTGTTTTCAGAACAGAGGGGGTATAAAATTGAGGTTAGAAGCAGGAAATGGAGAAAATATGTTATTTGTAAAGCTAAATATTACAATACAAATGTATATGAAGAATAATTCCTTTGCAGTGAAATTTCAACGTGAAGCTCGTAGTATATAAAAAAGACAATACTCTTTTACCATAATCTATCGGTCTTTAAATTGAACTTCTGTCTCATAATGCTCACCTCTTTGAGAATATTTCAGTTGAAATGAGCTTATTAATAAGGTTCTTCTGAAAATGGATGCAATGTTACACAAAAGACCGCCAAAAGCCTTCATTAATTATATAAATAAATCACAAAACTCAGAAATTCAAAACTGTTCTATAAAAAATAGACTTCAGGGCTTCCCTGGTGGCGCAGTGGTTGAGAGTCCGCCTGCCGATGCAGGGAACACGGGTTCGTGCCCCGGTCCAGGAGTATCCTGCATGCCGCGAAGCGGCTTGGCTCGTGAGCCATGGCCGCTGAGCCTGCGGGTCCGGAGCCTGTGCTCCGCAACGGGAGAGGCCGCGGCGGTGAGAGGCCCGCGTACAGCAAAAAACAAACAAACAAAAAAGACTTCGTTCTGCATTGCTCCAAAAGGTAGAACTAGATATGGAATTTATAGGCTAGCAAAATATTAACCATGCTTCCTAATTAAGGGGGTAGTGGGGAGGGAAAGGAGGCAGTATATGTGGGTATGGGTAGCCTAGTTGAGGTTTCCAACAAATGAGAGAAATTATAAGCTCTCCACTTAAGGCATTTTCAAGCACCAACTCTCATAAATGATAATGAAGAAATTTCTGCACTAAGTGAGAAGCAGGACTAGAAGACATAAATACCTTTTCCAACTCAAAGATTCTTCCATAAATCAGGATAACAGGATTCCTTTCTGGCTAAGCAATCAATTTTTAATTCTGTTTGGGTGAAAATTTTAAACAGCCAATAAAAATCTGAATTTATAGTATAGTTAGGATTTAGTAAGAATTTTAGAATTTTAATTTTTTTAAGTGGAAAGAGAAACAATCTGCTAAAATAAATTACTGGAGAAATCTGAAAAAAACTGAAAATAATTTAAACTTCTTGGGATATGTAAGCTTGGGCCAGTGGAAGACAGGAGTGCAAGTTCTATGTCAGAGAAAGAAAATGTTTTTATTAATAACCTTTTGCCTCTATTAATTGAGTAGATTAAAACACATTAACTTTCATTATTATGATAATCATTAATCAAAAATATTAATCTTTATAACAAAACAGCAGCAACAACTATTCATTTGGGCTAATTCATTTATTCTGATAAACCTTACCAGCTAAGTATCCACACTTCACTGATAAAGGAACTCATTCAGGGAAACTAATGGGTTATTCAAGAAATGTTTAGAGCTAACCTCAAAAGTCAAAATATGCTCAATTATTAATGCCATCAGGTTGTGTTGCAATACACAACTGTATTCTGTATCTTTACTAAAAGTACCAAATTTGTCTTCAAATGACATTTATAAATTATGCCTATCACACACACATCAACATCATTGCTATTAAGATTTTAAAACTAAACAAGGACTTTATGAAAACAGTAGCACTTCCTACATTTACTAGAAACTTATTTAGTAATTAAAGGCTCAAGAAATCAACTAAAATGAAGGAAACTTTAAGGACCCTCATTCTAGCCTCCTTCTCTAAGGCTAAGCCTAAATTTACTGTGTTTAAAAAAAAACACAAAAGCCAAGCAGTTCTGAGTATGGAACTGGCATGTTTGATTCCAAAGCTCTAAAGAATAAAGATTGCTTACTAGAATGACAAGAAACACAAGAAGTTCAATATACTTAAATTGCATGGTAGAGGATAATTATGAACTCAAACTTGTGAGTAAAATCAGATGTCAAACTTGAGAGTAAAATTAACTGGTTTCAGTGTAAAAATGATTATTTACATAGTAAAAATAATAATTATTGTACTTATTATAAAATCAAACCAAATATCTCACCCTTACAAGATCAGAGTCGTCTCTCTTGTCACTTTTTTTCCCCGGCAAAGGTGAAGACATTGTGTAATCTTCATTTTCACTGTGATCCATTTCAGAGCTATCAAGCCTTTTAATATAGACATTTGTAATTGTTATTACAATCAAATAACCTTAAAAGTTTTTCCTTTTCCCTAGTGTAGCTTTATAACTTTATGAGGAAAAGTTTCATTCTTTTCAAAAAGTATCTGTTTTAGTATATTTAACACCATTTGGCTATTTTCCATCATCTTCCCTTTTCATCCCTTCCCTAGATTACTATTAGCTGACTCCAAAGTGGCATTTCCTACCTCAATTCTAGTGCCTCTATTCTCCACCAATAATCTGGGCAATATTTTAAAAGCACAAATTAGACCACTAGACTCCAGAACATCTTCCAGTTTTACTTAAAATCAAACCCAAATTCCTTACATTACCCGCAAAGTCCAAACATAATCTGGGTACCTCACACCTTCATCCCTGACCATTATTCTCTCTTTCCTACTCTCCAACCAAACTGATCTCTCAAACACACCTAGCTCATTCCCTTAGAAAGAATCTTAGCGAACCGATGGGATTTGGAGAAAAAAAGCAACAAAGGCTGAAAGAAAGTTTAACCAAAAGTAAAGTAGGGAAACTACGAGTCATTTGTTGTGAAAAACAATGGGAGATGAGGACTGGGTAAAACTATATATTGGTCTTGAAAACAAACAAGGGAAGCCAATTAAGATTTCCAAGCAATGGAATAACCTGAAAACATAGCATTTAAAAAAGATTATCTAGCAGTGATATGATATACAATACAAAGACAGAGGAATAAGAAAGGGAAATAGCCAAATACTACAGTAATTAAAGAAAGGGAATGAATATGATGATAGCAGAAAAGAGAAGTATTAAACAAACATTGTAGAGAAAAATAACTGGCAAAACTTATTAGCACAGGGGAAAAATCAAAGACAATTTTGAGGCTCTTAGCCTAGATGGGTGAATTAGATCATCTTTGATTATAACCAGGAATTCAAGGAGAAAAGCCAGTAATTTAGGAAATGAGTTGCTGGAAATGTTTTTGGTCATGTTAAATATGAGGCCATCCAGTAGAAAAATGTCTAAATGACATAGGTAAAGAACGGTCACTTAGGTATCAGCCACTAATATGCATTAAAACAGGAATCTAGAAAAAATAAGAACTTTAGATGTAATTTTTGTTTTAATTCGATTATACTATATATCATTTAATAATTTATTCATTACAAGGAAACTGATAAGACATTTTAGAATGTCTCCTCCCTTCTTTACTGATTGGTTATGAATTGTGCAAAAGACAACATAATCTTTCATAATAACTTAGCAAAATGAATAAATGGTGGCAGTTTAGCCTTGTACGAGGCTCTGCTGCTGACAAATGGTATGCTAAGCCCCATGCTAAAACCAGTTAAAGTGTGATTTTCCTTTTTTCTTTCTTAAGAAGAAAAAAAAAATCTCCTGCAAAGCATAATTCAAAAGTACGTTTTTAAAATATTTTTTTAAACAAAAAAGTTTATATACGTACATGGTAAAAGAAATTCAAACCATATCAGAACATAAAATCATCTCCCTCCTACACTAGATTATTGTAAACACTATTAAGACGTTGTGTACTCTTCCCCAAATTTTCTATGCATATACAAGCAAATGAAAATACAAACCCTTCTTAAAAACTCAAAAATACTTTACACTGTTCTATTCTTTCCCTTTTTCACTCAATAATACATTGTGGAAACTCTTCATATGAGCTCATACCTCATCATTTTTTAATGACTATGTATTCCATTGTATGGATGAACTAGACATTTAGTTTGGAAACTAGCTTATGTCTACCAACAACAACAAGCTAAAATATGAAAGGCTAAGATGGAGTACCTACCTAAATGAGTAAGCAAATACATTTAACTTGTAAATGGCTACCAGTGTTAAAATAGGAATGTTCAGATATGCACTGATTTTCATTCACTGACATTAAATGTAAATGATGTTACTTTAGGTCTCATAGCCTTGATGGAGTCCTTAAATGTTAAGTATGGTATTTCTTATGTACTTACCTTCCTTTTATTCTTCCAGGAGAGCTTGGATTTGAGCTGCTGCTTGCATTGCTTACAGTTTCCATTCGTGATGATTTTGTCTGAGATTGTTTGCCTGCTGATGAAAGCGGCTTATTAACAGCTCCTAGAACATTGGTTGTTTTAGGCTGAAATGAAAAATGCATATCTTTCTATTTGATTAAAACCAAAAGAAGTTTAGATGTAAAGAATCATAAATAGTACCTGTCAAAGTATTTACATATACAAATCATGAAAAACTTGCTTATCCTTAAGCAAAATAAGAATAAGAATTATAAATTGAATATCACTGAACAAAAACTATATAAACAGAGTAATAGTTAAGTTTCTTAGTTACCTGCAGTAAAAGGCTTACATAGGAAGTGAGAGCACATAAAATGTATAGTCAAAAATGAAAACTGATAATTAGACTCTTGCTAGGGAAGGACATAAGAAGATGTCTTTTTACTTTAATATTTTTATCTTAATATTACAAGACAAGATATTTGAAAGAACGTCTCCAGGGTTTTATCATAAGCTAAAAAACAAGTTCTATATCTCAGCTTGCATCTATATAGTAAATATAACTATTTCTTACTAGTAAACGGAAGATAATACTTTTGATATATCAATTTTTAAAGAAATGCTAAATAACATAATTATGCCAACAGTCACACTAAAATAAACTACCACATAAAAATTAAAACAATTTTCAAAACATACTTTTCCAGGAGTGAAAAACGATTTCATTTCTGGAGGCAGATAATTTTTGGTGTTACTGAAGTTCTACAAACAAGGGAAAAAAACAATAGTCAATGACTACTGAAGCACTGTATCTAGGAGGTGATTCAAAAGCCAACAAAGCATAGAGCAGCTTTTGTTTTAAAGTACATTATAAAATACATATTTGTTTAAACTAAACAGTCAGATGAAACACAAAATTTTAGTCACTGATTTTAAATGCTGTAATAAGCTTAAACTAACCTCGTACTAATTCTAGTACTAACACAACATATTTGAGCTCTAACATGCTAGAGCTCTAAGAGCTCATCATCAGCAAACACATGCTTATGTAATAATACTCTCCAGGGAAGAGACTTCACATACTCCTATTATCTTAATCACAAAAAGGTGAATGCTTAAAAGCAGACAGTCCATTTTATTGGGTGAACTTACAGGACTGTTCTGATCTCTGTACACTGGGTAAGACGTTAACCGGTATTTTGCTTTAAAAAAAAAAGAAAAAGGTAGTGGCTGTTTCCTCTCAGTTACTTTAACAGGCTTAGATGCACTATAAAACTCCAAGAGAGATTCTAAAATACACCAACACCTTTTTTAGTATCATACAATACTTGAGTTTTCTGAGAGTGGTTTGGGAACATCCCTGTAGTGTTCCCAGGGTCTTGGGCCTGTTTAGTGTCAGTTCCCTGCTTGTTTCTTCATACCAGTTAGAAATCTCAAGGGCTTATCAGACTATCTCTATCAGCATTCTCCTTCCCATTTTGGATCAATGGCCATTATCTTATAGATTTACAAGCTTTGATCATTTTTGCCTGTGCTCTTAGACTAGCATAAAACTTGGAATACAAACTCTAGATCATCCTAACTCATCTCGGAACCTATTTGTGTCCTCCAGTTTGCCCCATATTCTGGTCTTGAACCACATTGTTAAGACTCACGGCAACCTTTTCATGACATTAGTAGTGTGTCACTTCTTGATATTGATTCTTCGTGATCTTCCCACAACCTAGTGCTGAGAATACATTTTATTTCAACGTATACAAACAAATCCTAAAATAGCTACCTTGTCAGGTTGGGTGAAAAAACGAGCTGGTAGTACTGGGTCTTTAGGAGATTCCAAACTATATGTGGTGCTTTTTGACATAATGATATTCATGGCAACATCACACACAGTATACAGTTTCTGCAATGGTATTAAAAGAAAATTAGGTACTTAAATCAGTATCCTAGACTCTGAGAATTAGGAGTAATTCTAGAACATGCATTTAGTATGCAATTTTCAGGACAATAGTGTAAGTTAAAAGACTTACTCTATTATTTTCATTAGTTTACTAGTAACAGCATTACTACTAATTCTATATTAATTCTATGTTAGTAAGTCTAATTACTACTAATATGAATACTACTATTTATTATACTACTAACAGAAAAGACTGATGTCTACAGAAGTTTCATACCCTATACTCAAATGCTTGAAATCAACATGGAATCATAACTATTTACAAAGAATTACATACTTCATTCATTTTTGCATCATCTGGTCCTTGAGCATCTTTTGTTTGTTTAATATTTTCTACCATCTTTCTGATAAATGCATGACTGTTATTTTCATTTTTAGCCATTAATATTTCCAGAACAAACCAAAGACACCTAAAAAATACCAAGAAAAAAAGAAAAAAATCACTGTTAAATACAGATATAATTCTAAATATAAATATAATGAACTCCAGGAGCAGGAAAAATTAAAAAGAAACAGCTGTAAATCAACAGAGAAAAAAATATGTCACATACATATCACAACATATCAGCAATGTACGTGCGAGGTCGTAATACCCCTTCTCAAAGTCTCACTAACTTTCTTAGGGAGGCAGGTTAAAAAGAAACAGAAATGGTGGAAAGAATGAAGTGATCTTAATCCCTGGCTATGACAGGAAGGGAAGACTGCCTAAAGGAATAACTGGGCCATAGATAAAGTGAAGTCTCAAATATTCAAGACTGACTGTAGTCCTGAATGGAAGTCTTCAAGAAAATCTAACCACCTTACTCAATAGTAAGAATCTTCATCAATAAATCTGAGGAAAAAGTCATGGCTGACAACTCTACATACTGTTTTTGCTTAAAGGAAGAAAAAAATAAAAGAAAGTGTCAGTACCTCAGTTTTAAAGTTAACTACATTAAATTCTACTCAAGAAAAAACTGAAAGTGCTTTGTCTCTGTGTTATGTAGACAGAATGGGACAGAGGGATAGCACAGAGGAGAAAATGGGAGAAGAGAGAAATGTGAAACAAGGTATCATTCTAGAAGGGAAAAAAGTAACCTTTGAGACCTCAGGCACAGGATAAGTTCTTCTGGTGTGGCTCTCTGCTGCGATGGAGATCACTCATGGCTGTACTAGGGCAATTTACAAATACCGCCCAAAATGTTTAGTAAATTCCAAAGAATATTTTATCTATTTCAAAAACTAATGTGTTCCGATAAGGAGGAGTGGCTAAAAGTTGTCATTAGTTATATAATCACTCTAACACAGAATTCATTTTGGGAAAACTAACTGCTTATTTTTTAAAAATAGAAACTGTGGCAAAAAGAGGGTAAAATCATTTTCTCTTGTCACGAGAAAGTTGTCAATAATTTAATTTTATTCTCTTGAAGCACCTCAAATACTTAACTATAAAATATTTCTATGAATCAAGAAACCAAGAGTTATTTTCCTTTAATAAGAAGCTAAAGGCATAAGAAATTAATTTATTCAAAGCCACAAAGGTCATTCTTTATTGTAACAGAAACAGGGTCTCATCCATATTTTAAAGAACTCTGGTAGTCTTACAAAGACTTCTCTAAATACCCTTATATTCCCCTATCCCACACCCAGGCATATATAGTCTTCTGGCCTCTCAACAAGAATCTTTGAAAGAACTGTTAACTGTCATAAACTTTAATTAGAGAATCACCAATGAAGTAGTAAGTGGGATCAGTTGCCTGGTTATCAACTTGGCCCATTACTAAATTAGACTATTCTCTATTCCTTACAGAGGAAGATAGTAACTGCAAAGAAAATGTGCTTACTATGTGAATAAAAGAGAATATTAATTCTCCCCACATGAAAATCTATACAGTGTTTCAGAAGAAAGTAGGAAAAGATAAGAACTGGAAATGGAAACTCTTAATGGTTGCTTCAATAAAAAAGAAATGCCAGACTGGTAGAGAAATATGTCAGTAATACAGTAATTATGCTAAGTTGTTTTGGGAAATTATATAAGAAATGAAACATGAAGAGATGGTATGAAAAAAGAAAAATAAGAGAACAAATAAGGTAAAGAACCTGAAACTCCTAAGAAATGAAATAAATTTAATACACTAATTATAACTGAGATTCCATTATCAGCAAGAAAGGGAAAAAACTTTCAGAAAATATGAAAATGGGATGGAAAAAGTCTTACTCTTTAACATCTTTAAGTTGTTCAATATCCTGTACTTTGACATAATCTGGGTCATGTGCCAAAAGGTGAATTGTATATGGAACAACATACTCGGGTAGAAGAGACAATAATTTTTCTGAAAAAGAAAAAGAAAAAACAAAACAAAACAAAACAAAAACAGCCAGGTTAGAAAACCAAATCTTACTCATTCTCTTTCTCTCTCTCTCTGATACTATGTTTCCTGCATCCCAATAGTTTACCACAATATGACTGGAAGAAAAATATATTGAAATGTCCAGTGCTGAGGTACATCATAAATTAAAGTTTATTCATTCATCCATCATGGCCAATATTGATTTGCCTACTAAATGCACCATGTGCTGAGGCTACAAAGACAAATATTTCAATTTTCAATAGATATGGGAAAAAGTGACCCAAACTATATTCAAGACTAAGGAACATAAGTCTATTTTTTTTATTATTAGTAACTCTATGTTCAACACTCCATTGTAAGCTGCAGAGCAAAATGAAAAAAACTAGTAAATTTTTCAGTTAGTATGACACAAAAACAGGAAGTAACAGTTGATACTATTTGCTATTATTTGTAACATAAGAACAGATATAAAGGAACAGACATTGTTTCTAGGGCATTTTAAATAACAAACATCTTTTTAGTTTAAATTCAAATATTTTAATATTTTGACTGAGATCAGCATATTCCATTAGAGGTAGAATGGAAGTCCTAACTAGTTTTAATAAAGGTTACTCAAAAGACCAGGATTCATATTCTGAACAATTCTTTTTATATTTCCTACTCTCAAAATTTTAAATCAGATGTTCAATCTAGAGTATAATAATGTATGTGTCAATAAGGCACCAAGTTTTCTTTATTTCTACTGCTGAACTCAAAGAGAATAAGTTTGTGTGTAATATCATTCATTTCAAGGTAGGTATAGAAGAAAAAAGTAACAAGGTTCAAAAGTCAGTGAAAAAGTCTGTCAAACATTTATTGAGTGCTTACTATTTTCCAGACCTTCTATTTTTATTGGGGCTTACTATTTTAAATATAAAGATGCATAAGACTAGATAAAAACCTCATACTAAAGCATGGACAGGACAGAAGCTATACTTCAATGTGGACAGTGCCCTAAAATAAGAATAGCTAACAACTACTGAGTACTTCTTTGGACCATGCATTATGCCAGGTGCTTTATACACATAACTTTTTAATCATAATCATAACCACCATAAGCTATGAGTAAAACTATACCAGTCTTACAAAAAGGAAACTAAAGCTCAGATTGCACAAGTAACCCGCCCAAACACAACCAGTAAATGGCAGTGGTGGGATTTGACTCCAGAGCCCTCATTTTTTCTAAGGTGAGGTAGGAACAGAAAGAAAGAGGGTCCTAGCGATGAGGTTAACACCAAAACCGTATTTTAAAGGATTCAAAAGGGGCAAACCACTCTCCTTCGTTTTGTTTGTTTATTTGTTTGGACAGAAGGGGGACGCAATTTCCAGACAGAGTTGACAACAGAGAAAAAAGATGGCTATACCGATTTCAAATAATCCAGAGTACAATGAGCACAGAATTCATAGTCAGGAGTAGCTAGAGAGAAAGCTTAAAACTCAGGCTGAGGGTAAACTAAAAAGGGCCATGCTGATGAGCTTCAACTTGACCCTATGAGCAATAAGCAATCGACAAAGGTTTCAAAGCAAGGACGTGATGTGATCTCATCTGTTTTAGAAAGATAATTTTGACAGCGGTGTGGCACAGCTGGAGGTGGGTCAGAGGCAGGGGAACATTTACAACAGGGAGTTAGTTAGGAGTATATAAAATAATCCAAGTGAAATACAGCAGTGTAGGAGAGTTGAGGAGAAATATTCAAGATATCCAGAAGAAGAATTAAGAGGATTTAGTGACCAATGAGAGGAAAAAAGAAGGCGTGAAGAATGCCTCTGATTTCTGACTTGCATAACTGGATGGATTTTAATGCTGTTGATCAAGTCACAGAAGTCAGAGGGGCACAAAAACTAATAGTGTGGATGGGGTAAAGTGAGCAGATTTTAAAAAGGCACACAGGAACTTGCTATTAATGTCAGCTACAGGTGAGGACAACCAATAAAGATCAAAGACCAGTACTTTTTTAAACTAAAAGATAGTACGTAGACAATCTACATAAATGTACCGCTTACTGTTTTATTTACCTCCAAAGTCACCGATTTTTTTCCCTTGGCCTTTTAGTCAGTTGCATAAAGAGCTATGGGTTGATATTTAAATACCCATGCGTTTATACTTTAAAATGACCTATTAAAAGGAAAAGCTGCTACTGAAAAACAGTAACAACTTCTTATTTAATGAGGGCAAGTTAGAATATAATAAATAACAGTAACATCATTTTGTGTTCTATAAAAGTGAAACTGGCAGGATGGGAAAGTACACTTTTCATTTTCATATACGCTTACCACTAACAGCTGCATGCTGTTTCAGATACTCGCGTCTCACATTGATATTTTTTACCAGACACTGCCTGGCATGAGCTCTTCTTTCTTTTACAGGATCTTTTGCACAAAGTGCACAAATTGCCATATACTCAAGTGGAAGCCGTAATCGGGAAAGACCTTTGTGCAGTTTCTGAGCAAACACTTGTCTTACTTGATAGCATTCATCCTGAAAGACACAATTATTTAACATATTATCCACATGGTACCAAAGAGTAACAACTTTAGATATGAAATTCGCTATATCAAGTAACCAGAAGGGTAAACATAGCAAGTTTACCCACAATCACTGCTTCTGTTCACAAGACTGAGATGTGATAAGTTAATATCAAGGCTGGAGTGACCACCTGGACCCTAATAACTACCAGCTACCTGGTGTTAGAACATATTGAATGTAATCTTAAAACAGATAACACTAGTAAATATTAATCCATCCTAACTTAAATAAATGAGATGTGTAAAAAAAAAAAAGTTTGAACACTATCTAATATTTAGCTTTTTCATTTGCTGAGCAAGATAAAACTGTCCAATTTATATATTTTAGTCCTATCATTTAAAAAACTATTCAGATTAAAATGGACAACTCTGAAGGCAAGAGTTACTAATTTCAGAAACATCACATTACTTTCAGTTCTATAAATGAACCAATCTGTTCATTGCCACTGTGCCGGCTTTCTTCACGCTCCCCACTCTCCTAGACCACCCACCTCCACTCTCCTAGACCTCATCTTTAACGACAGCTCCTGTATCTTTCAGAAATCACTGAGGAATCTGTATCCTGCATCCACTTCTGTGCTCCCTTAGCACTCTGTGCTTATCTCCACCACAGCCTTTAGTATACAGTATGAAAACAACTGGTTTATCTGTCTTACCCAGTGCTGTTTGTTCTTTGAAGATGAGAACGACGCCTTTATTTTTCTTTGTGCCTCTAAACCTAGCACAATATCTGGTACACAGATTATCAGATTTTTTTCTAAACTATAGGGAAAAGCTCATATGACTTTTGAGCCATATACGAGACATACAAAGACCTTCTATGACATAAAAAGACTTTCATTATTACACCTTACACTCCACCAATGAACATAACATGTGGTATGTTTCATATTATTGCAACTTTATGTTTATTTCTTCTATCGAGAATATAAATTTTGTTTTGCTTCGAAACCTAGGTCATAACATCTTGCCCTTATCATTAAATCCCTATTTTGGGTATCTTCTTTCATTTAACTTAAACTTCAGTTTATTACAATACCAAATACCCACTTTTTAAAAAGTAGTCAAGTGCAGCCACTATGGAAAACAGTATGGAGGTTCCTCAAAAAACTAAAAACATAGTTGCCATATGATCCAGCAATCCCACTCCTGGGCATATACCTGGACAAAACTATAATTCAAAAAGATACAGGCACCCCTTTATTCATAGCAGCACTATACACAATAGCCAAGATATGGAAACAACTTAAATGTCCATCGACAGATGAATGGATAAAGATCTGGTACATATATACAATGGAATACTACTCAGCCATAAAAAGAATGATACAATAATAATTTCATTCTTTTTTACGGCTAATATTCCATTGTATATATGTGTGTGTATATATATATACACACACACCACATCTTCTTTACCCACTCATCTGCTGAAGGACATTTAGGTTGCTTTCATGTCTTGGCTATTGTAAATAGTGCTGCTACGAACACTGGGATGCATGTATCTTTTCAAATTAGAGTTTTTATCTTTCCCGGACATATGCCCAGGAAAGTGGGGTGGGGGAGGGATGGAGTGGGAGCTTGGGGTTAGCAGATGTAAACTATTATATATAGAATGGAAAAACAACAAGGTCAAGGTCCTACTGTAGAACACAGGGAACTATATTCAATATCCTGTGATAAACCATCATGGAAAAGAATATAAAAAAGAACATATATACACACACACATACACACACACCTGAATCACTTTGCTGTACAGCATAAATTACCACAACACTGTATATCAACTATACTTCAATTATAAAAAGGAAGTAGTCAAGCTTTCACAGAAATATTGTCTATTATCTACCCTCATAATCCACAAAAGGAAGTTAAACTTATCTCATTCCTTCCTCAGTATTACTCCTATAGGGAGAGGAATTTTCATTATTCAATTATTTATTATAAAAATACCCAATTACAAACTACGTAAGTAAAAGTCCATATATCACAAATATATTCACAAATGAACAGACCATTCATTAAAATATTAAACAAGAGGGAGAGGAACAAATTAGGAGTATGGGATTAATAGATACAAAGTACTATACATAAAATAGAAAAGCAATAAGGATTTACTGTATAGCACAGGGAATTATACCTAATATCTTGTAATAAGCTATATAGTGGAATATAATCTGCAAAAGTCAACCTGAATCACTAAGCTGGTTACACCTGAAACTAACACAATATTGTAAATCAAATATACTTCAATAAAGCAAACAGAAACACTGAATAGCACTCAAACATCCCTCCCCCTACCCCTATCCCCTAGTTAGATACACTAGGGGGATAGACCATGTCATTCTCTCATTAATCATCGAGGATCCAACAGTACAATGCAAATTCATTACAAAGTCAATTGTGAATCATAGCAAAGGTAGGAGAGTTTCAAAAAGTCATTAAAGTGATGTTAGAAAAGAACTGTCAAATCATATGCCAGGCAACTGACACATTTAACAACAAAAGATTAGAAAACTGACCACAATGATGATACAGTATGTACATCAAAAGAGAATCATGTGAATAAAGATTAAAAGATGTGCTCCTGGGAACGAGGAAGTCTTCCAATGTTTGTTTTTTGCAAAGATTTACCCTTTTCGTTAGGTTATAAAAAAAATATGAAGGACAGATTTATCCCTTTGACTAGGTTATTAAAAAATGTGAAGTAAAGATTTACCCTTTTGACTAGGTTATAAAAGCATGTGAAGTAAAGGACAGAGTGATACAATTTTTATCAGGAAAAATACACTCTCAAAAAAAGCACACTTGATACTTTCATGTTATACTTATAACCAATAATTGGTTCAACATAAAGAAGATGGTGTCTAATACTACAAAATATTTTTCCCAAGGATAAAGTTCTGATCAAAGCTTTTATTCACTACTAAGAAATTAATTTTAGTCTGCATCTTAAATTAAATTTTAATGTCCTTTTTAAAACTGAAATATAGTTGATTTACAATGTTGTGTTAATTTCTGCTGTACAGCAAAGTGTACTTTTTAAGTATAAATTATCCTCAGAGCTACTTCTAGTATCTTGCAAATAGTTCAATTACTCTGTGTACTGCACTGTGTTATCAACACTTATTTATATTTTCTGTTCTCCTAAGAGGTTATCTTCTTGAGGGCTGTAGCCATGACTCATCTTTGCATTTACAGAACCTAGAACAATGCATAGCACATAGCAGTACACATCAAATTTTAATGAATTGCATTCAAATTCTAAAATACCTAAGTAATTATTAAATGAGAGGGTGAAAACAAAATTAGAGGCAGCAAACCACAGGTACATAAAAGAAAAAAATGTTCGGCTTTGTTAAAATAAGCATGGGTAAAGGGCAGTGTGCTAAACAGAATTTTTAAATGTATATTTGGGTCCAAATATTAGAAGGGCTTGAATGGCAATGTAAAATATATGCAATTTTTTCTTTCTTACGAGTGTAAGAGCCTAAATATTTTTGACCAGGGGAATAACATAATCAGAACTGTAACAGAGAAATTTAGCGAACTACAGAGAATAGCAAAGTTGAGAGCTAATGATGGGTACAGCAGTAAGAATGGTTAAGAAGGTATGAATAAAAAGAGATATAATAGATATCAAAGGACAGAATTATCTGTACTTTTGCAACAAGGTGCAACTACAAGCAAATAGTCAAATATAAATCATGATTTTAGGTCTAAGAAATGCCAATCAGCTTTATTTAATGCTTATTGAGGCTCTCTGCAGGTCAGGAAAGAATAGATTTGGGAAAGATTCAGTCTTACCTTCACAGAACATGAAGGTTTGAAATTTCTGTTTAGCACTGGAAGTGGGACCGGAAACTTGAGAAGGGCCAGAAAATGTAGTCAAGAAGCATGACAAAGATCAGGAGACAAAAAACAAAGAAGAGCGTTTCAAGAATAAAGGTGCAATGAGCTGTGTCAAATGATGCAAAAAGGACATGTGTAATAAAAATTAAGATCATTGGGGCTTCCCTGGTGGCGCAGTGGTTGAGAGTCCGCCTGCCGATGCAGGGGACACGGGTTCGTGCCCTGGTCCGGGAAGATCCCACATGCCACGGAGCGGCTGGGCCTGTGAGCCATGGCCGCTGAGCCTGCGCGTCCGGAGCCTGTGCTCCGCAACGGGAGAGGCCACAACAGTGAGAGGCCCGTGTACAGAAAAAAAAAAAAATTAAGATCATTAGATTGGGGGACTTAATTAGACCATTTTTGGAAAACAGTGAAGGCAAATGGCAAAATATGAGTAGTGAGGAGTGAGAGGATCAGAGAGACAAAGATACAGATTACTCTTTCTTGAGGCTTGGAGGTTTAAAAAGAAGAGACAAGCATGTGGTTTAAAGGAAAAGCAGAATTAGGAAAAAGTTTTGCATAGGATAGGGTAATCTCATGTTTGTAAGTTGTGAAAATGTGCTAATAATTAACTCTGAACCATTAACACATGTTCCACAGTCAGAATTTCAAAACAATCTTTAAACTTAGGTAATCTGAACTTTGACCTTGGGAATCTGGTGACTGAGACAGTAACATAAAACAAATAGTGTGCTAGAAAAGAAAGTCTCTAGAACTTACCAAGTGTGGATGCTTTTTGCACGTAGTGGACATTTAACTAATGATCTGCACATACTTATTACACACAGGGAGTTTCAAACAAAGCCCATCTCTTTTAACATATTTTCATACATCCCTTTTTAAAAAAAAAAAAATTTCTACTTCACAACCGACAACACCAATACCCTAAGAAATACCAGACCAAGAATCCAACAACTCAATGGACTGCAACTCAATGGGAGAAAATATTTGCAAATGAAGAGGCTGACAAAGAATTAATCTCCAAAATTTACAAGCAGCTCATGCAGTTCAATGTCAAAAAAACAAACAACCCAATCCAAAAATGGGCAGAAGTCCTAAACAGACATTTCTCCAAAGAAGATACACAGATTGCCAACAAACACATGAAAGGATGCTCAACATCACTAATCATTAGAGAAATGCAAATCAAGACTACAGTGAGGTATCACCTCATACCAGTCAGAATGGCCATCATTAAAAAATCTACAAACAATAAATGCTGGAGAGGGTGCGGAGAAAAGGGAACCCTCTCGCACTGTTGGTGGGAGTGTAAACTGATACAGCCACTATGGAGAACAGTATGGAGGTTCCTTAAAAAACTAAAAATAGAATTACCATACGACCCAGCAATCCCACTACTGGGCATATACCCTGAGAAAACCATAATACCAAAAGAGTCATGTACCACAATGTTCACTGCAGCTCTATTTACAATAGCCAGGACATGGAAGCAACCTAATTGTCCATTGACAGATGAATGGATAAAGAAGATGTGGCACATATATACAATGGCATATTACTCAGCCATAAAAATAACCGAAATTGAGTTAAAAAAAAAAAGGTCCTGAAGAGCCTAGGGGCAGGACAGGAATAAAGACGCAGACGTACTCGAGAATGGACTTGAGGACACGGGGAGGGGGAAGGGTAAGCTGGGACAAAGTGAGAGAGTGGCATGTACATATATACACTACCAAATGTAAAACCAATAGCTAGTGGGAAGCAGCCACATAGCACAGGGAGATCAGCTCGGTGCTTTGTGACCACCTAGAGGGGTGGGATAGGGACGGTGGGAGGGAGGGAGACGCAAGAGGGAATTGATACGGGGATATATGTATATGTACAGCTGATTCACTTTGTTATAAAGCAGAAACTAACACACCATTGTAAAGCAATTACACTCCAATAAAGATGTTAAAAAAAAATAAAAAAGAGTAAATGCACAGAGATACGAAAAGTTTGAGTTGCCTGACACACATCCCAGCAGAAGTCAAACAAAGCAACGTTCTGCCTCCCTGCTTCAGCTCTCATTATCATAAACAAATGTCTGTTTGGTGGTCTCTCTAGTGCCACATTTTTTGCATTTTTATACTTTTTATTGGTGATTTTGTTGTTTAAAATAGCTCCCATGCATACTGCTGAAGTGCTGTTTTGTGTTCCTAAGGGCAAGAAGGCTGTATGTGCCTTATGGAGAAAATCTGTGTCACATAAGCTTCATTCAAGCATGAGTTACAGCGCTGTTGGTCATGAGTTCAATGTTAATGAAACAACTATACACTAAAAAAGGTGCCATTAAACAGAACCAGACAAAAAACAAAGTTGTGTTCTACTGCAAGTAACAAGAATCAACTGTACTATGTCAGCAACCCACAATTCAAATGACAGTTTTAGAACTCTGAAATGTTTCACATACATAAATTTTCCAAGAGGAGACACAAACATTCAAGATTTTTATCTCTTTATCATGGTGGACTTTCTCCTTCCTAAAAGTCAAAGACCATAGAAAGTCATGTTCTATATAGCCATTTTCCTTACATTGATAGCTAAAGCACATAGCTGATATTGTTCTAATGTGATAATTTCATGATAACAGGGTTCCTGTGCCAGCTTCACAATAGCACTCCCAGCAGCAAGTCTCAGACGTGACATATCTGGTTTACTGAAAAATAAGCAAGAAAGAATGTGAATTAGATTTCTAAATGTCTGCACAAAAACATTCCTACTTTGAATATTTAATTTTATAAAAATTCCTCTGGCCAAGGAAAAAAAAGGACAGAAAACAATTTAGTGATACTGAACACCATATTATGCTTCCTTCACTTCTCTAAGGTGGTGTGTAATGCCACAAAATTCTTCTCTTGAACATAAGTCTATGCTAGTCATTGAATTCTCTTATCCCACACAAAACAGCTTTCAGCCAAGCCTAGAACAAATATATTTGTATGTTTAGTTGTTAGGTCTTAAGTCTTCCACTACAGATTTTTTTTTAATATGTGTTTACTTATACATTAGGCATAAAATATCCTAAGTTCCTAATCGGTCAACTGAAACTATGGTTCTAAGTACAAAAGAAGTGGAATGAAAGCAGGTGTAGTGGATAAAACATTACTACTTTTAGCTAGTATTCAATCTTTGAAATACCCCCAAGAGCCTATATTTAAGTTTAAGGAAAGAAATTTCTTGCTAAATGGGACATACTTAAACAATTAGGAAATTCCTGACTAGTAAATATATTTAAACAATCCTTTCTAATACACTGACATGTTACATGAATTACTAATGTAACTGGACTAATGTAAGGAGGGAAACTGTAACTCCTTAATTAGGATCCCCTACGTAGTTCCATAGTAAAAGATTATTATTTAATATTCATACAACAAATATGTGTCAATTTTATATACGGTACTGAGAGGGACTTAAAAGAGACAAAGCTCATTAAAAGAGACAAAGCTCAGTCTTCCAAGATCTAATGATCTAGTTGGTTTAAGACTCTTCCCTTATCTAAGGATTTTGTAAAAATATTTATTGAATGTATGCCAACATTAATAAGGTTCTGAAGTTACAGGCCCCAGAGGTGCTTTTCAGTTCATCAACAGCAATATTCCAAGTAGTTATTATAAGGTAAATCACCCAACCACTGCTAAGGAAAGTCTGATTTTTCTTGTTGGAGTTTTTTTAGTACAAATAAAAAATAAATAATTACAATACTTTACAACTACGTTTTTGAAGACCCAGTTTAAAAACGGAGACCCAGTGAGTGCTCCTGCAGCGGGGACATGTCAGGTCTTAGCAGCTGCAGGCTCTGTGGGCATGTACACATGGGGGCTGGGCCGGGCTAGGGTCTGAGCTGCCTCCATAGCTCCCACAGTGGGTCCAGGTGCACGACTACTGCAGTCCTGAGACCTGACTTCAGTGGATCTGCCCTGGTGGCCTTGTGGAAACAACTCCTGAGAGACACCAGGGACGACTGCTGGCATACCCACAGTTGAAGTGGGGCCGAGGGCAGTACCAACAACAGTGTGCTTTGTGAGTCTGCACAACAGGTGAAAGGTGACACAAAAGAGCACACTCAGTTGAACAGCTCCAGTGGAAGAACACTCAGTGGCTCCTCTCCCAGTGGGAGCATTCCAATCCCACCTACCTTGCACCACAGCTTAGAAACGTTATCTGGGGCTTCTACTCCAACAACTAGGGAGCAGACCCTGCCCCGACAAGGCAATGACAACCACAGAGCAAAGAGAAGGCCCTGGTCAATATCCTGTGCAGGCTCTGGTCACCACAACATCAGTCACACCTCCTATCAAGGGGATAATGGCCAGCATACACTGAGGAAAGGGGTGGCAGGCATCCATACTAAAAACAGCCCTCACACCAAAAAATATTAAACCCACGCAGGCTACACAGGGACATTCCCACATAAAAATACCCTCCAAGACCACAGTATATAACTGTTTCTCCTAAACTCATAGAGCAAGAGAAATATAAGTAAAATGAAGCAGAGGAACCATTCCCAATTAAAAGATCAAGAGAATTCCCCTGAAAGAACAAACAATGAAACAGACTGCTTCAATCTAATAGACACCAAGTTCAAAAAGTAGATAATGAAAATACTGAAGGAATTAAGAAAGGCTATAGACAGAGATGCAGATTACTGTAAGAAGGACCTAGAAACTGTAAGGAGGAGCCAAGAAAAAATGGAGAATTCATTTGAAGAGACGAAAGCTGAACTAAAGGCTATGAATAGCAAAATGAATACTGCAGAAGAAGGAATAAGTGATGTGGAAGATAGAATAATGGAAATCACCCAGTTAGAACAGCAGACAGAAACCCAAATGAAAAAAAAAAAGAGCAATATAAAGCGTGTCAACCTATGCATAATAGGGATTCTAGAACAAGAGGAAAGAGAAAAAGGGATTGAAAATGTATTTGAAGAAATTAAGGCTGAAAACTTCCCAAGCCTAAAGAAGGAAACAGATATCTAGATACAGGAAGCAAAGAGGGTCCCAAACAAGATAAACCCAAACAGACTTACACCAAGACATATTATAATAAAAATGGCAAATGTTAAAGCTAAAGAGAGGACTCTACAGGCAGCAAGAGAAAAACAAAGTGTTAATTACAGGGAAACCCCCATACGGCTATCAGTTGATTTCTCTACAGAAACACTGCAGGCCGGAAGGGAAGAGCAAGATATATTCAAAGTCCTGAAAGGGAAAAATCTGCAACCTAGGATACTCTACCCAGCAAGATCATCACTTAGAATAGAAGGAAAGATAAAGAATTTCTCAGATAAACAAAAACTAAAAGAATACAGCAATACTAAACCTATACTAAAGGAAATGCTGAAAGGTCTTCTCTAAGTAGAAAAGATGTAAGGATCCATACAAAAGAGAAAGTCATAATTGGAAAGTAAATCACTTAAATAAGCAAGTACACAGATTAATAAAACATCAAAAAATTTCTGTGAAAGCGATGATTACCACAATGAACAGCAAAAGTGTGAACATGAAGATGTAAAAGAGGACATCAAAATCATAAAATGTAGTGATAAGAAAACATACATTTTTTTTTCAATTTGTTTGAGCCTGTATGACTACCAGTCTAAAACAAGGAGATATAGGAAAAGTGTCAAAGTATTTGAAAAACAGGGTAACCACAAATCAAAAACATACAAGAGATTCACAAAAACAAAGAGAACATAAGAATAACACAAAAGAAAATCATCAAACCACAAAAGGAAAAAGGAAAAGAAAGGGACAAAGAAGAAATACAAAATCAATGGGAAAACAAGGTTTAAAATGGCAATAAATACATATCTATCAGTAATTACCTTAAATGTCGATGGACTAAATGCTCCAATCAAAAGACACAGAGTGGCAAATTGGATTAAAAAAAAAACAAAACAAGAGCCTACAATATGCTGCCTACAAGAGACCTACTTTAAGACAAAGGAGACACACAGATTGAAGTGAGGGGATGGAAAAAGATATTTCATGCAAACAGAAATGACAAGAGACCAGGGGTCAAAATACTCATATCAGACAAAACAGACTTTAAAACAAAGGCTATAAAGAAAGATAAAAAAGGACACTACATAATGATAAAAGGATCAGTACAAGGAGAGAATATTACACTTGCCCACTTATATGCACCCAATATAGGAGCACCCAAATACATAAAACAAATACTAACACACATAAAGAGAGAAACTGACAGGAATACAATAATAGTAGGAGGCTTTAACACCCCATTCACATCAATGGACAGATCTTCAAGACAGAAAATCAATAAGGCAACAGAGATCCTAAATGATACAACAGAACAGTTAGACTTAATTGATATCTACAGTTCATTACATCCAAAAAAAGAATACACATTCTTTTTAAGGGCACATGGAACATTCCCTAGGAGAGACCACATACTAGGGCACAAAACAAGCCTCAACAAATTTAAGAGTATAGAAATTATTTGAAGCATCTTTTCTGACCACAACGGCATGAGACTAGAAATCAACCACAGAAAAAGAATGAGAAAAAAACAATTACATGGAGACTAAACAATATGCTACTAAAAAACCAACAGGGCAACGATGAAATCAAAGAAGAAATTTAAAAACGCTTTGAGGCAAATGACAATGAAAACACAACCATACAAAATCTATGGGATACAGCAAAAGCAGTTCTTACAGGGAAGTTCATAGCAATACAGGCCTTCTTTAAGAAACAAGAAAAATCTCAAATAAACAACCTAACCCACCACCTAAAAGAATTAGAAAAAGAAGAACAAATAAAACCTAAAGTCAGCAGACTGAAGGAGATAATAAAGATCAGAGAGGAAATAACTAAAATCGAGATTAAAAAACAATAAAAAAAAAATCAATAAAACCAAGAGCTAGTTCTTTGAAAGGGTAAACAAAATTGACAAACCTCTGGCCAGGCTCACCAAGAAGAAAAGAGAGAAGACATAAATAAACAAAATAAGAAATTAAAGATGAGAAATCACACCTGATACCACAAAAATTCAAAAAAAAAATACTATGAACAATATTGTGAACCTAGAAGAAGCGGACAACTTTCGAGAAACATACAGCCCACCAAAACTGAATCAAGAAGAAACAGATAACTTGAACAGGCCAACCACTAGAATGATATAGAATCTGAGAAAACAAACTCCTACAAACCAAAGTCCAGGACCAGATGGTTTCACTGGGGAATTCTACGAAACATACAAAAAAGAACTTATACTGATCCTTCTCAAACTCTTACAAAAGACTAAAGAGGAAGGAACACTCCCAAAGACATTCTATGAAGCCACCATCACCCTGATACCAAAACCAGACAAACACACCACCATAAAGCAAATTATAGGCCAATATTTTTGATGAATAGACACAAAAATTATCAACAAAGTATCAGCAACCTGAATCCAACAACAAATAAAAAAGGTCATACACCATGATCAAGTTGGATTCATCCCAGGGTCACAAAGATGGTTCAACGTACGCAAATCAATCAATGTGATACATCACATCAACAAAAGAAAGGAAAAAACCACATGATCATCTCACTAGATGCAGAAAAAGCATTTGATAAAATTTAACATCCATTCATGATAAAAACCCTTATGAAAGTGAGTATAGAGGGAGCATAGCTCAACATAATAAAAGCTATTTATGACAAACACACAGCCAATATAATACTTAACAGTGAAAAGCTGAAAGCCTTCCTGTTACAATCTGGAACAAGACAAGGATGCCCACTCTCACCACTTCTCTTCAACACAGTATCGGAAGTCCTAGCCAAAGCAATCAGAGAAGGAAAAGAAATAAAAGCTATTCAAATTGGTGGGGAAGAGGTAAAATTATTGTTATACACACATAATGTTAATTATGAGAGAGCCCAGAAATAAACACACACACCTATGGACAATTAATCTTCAACAAAGGAGACATGATATTATTATATGTAGAAAACTCTAAGGACTCCACACAAAAAGTACTATAACTGATAAATGAATTCACCAAAGTAGCAGGATACAACATTAACATACAGAAATCAGTTGTATTTCTTTACACTAACAATGAAATATTAGAAAGGGAATGTGAACAAACAATCCCTTTTCAAACTGTACCCCCCAAAATAAAATACTTAGAAATAAACCTGACCAAGGAGCTGAAAGACTTATATGGTGAGTACTACAAAACATTAACAAAGGAAACTGAAGATGATTCAAAGAAATAGAAAAACATCCCATGCTCTTGGATTGAAAAGAATTAATATTGTTAAAATGGCCATACTACCCAAAGCAGTCTACAGACTTAATGCGATCCCTATCAAATTATCCATGACATTTTTCACAGAACGAAAATAAATAATCCTAAAATGTATATGGAACCATAAAAGATCCAGAATTACCAATGCAATCCTGAGGAAAAAGAACAAAGCAGGAAACCCTCCCAGACTTCAGATAATACTACAAGGCTACAGTAATCAAAACAGCATGATGCTGGCACAAAAAGGGACATATGGATCAACAGAACAGAACAAAGAGCCCAGAAATAAACCCACACACTTAATCTTCAAGAAAGGAGGCAAGGGCTTCCCTGGTGGTGCAGTGGTTGAGAGTCCGCCTGCCAATGCAGGGGACACAGGTTTGTGCCCTGGTCCAGGAAGATCTCACATGCCGTGGAGTGGCTAGGCCCGTGAGTCGTGGCCGCTGAGCCTGCATGTCTGGAGCCTGTGCTCCGCAATGGGAGAGGCCACAACAGTGAGAGGCCCGCGTACCGCAAAAAAAAAAAAAAAAAAAAAAAGGAAGCAAGAATATACAATGGGGAAAAAGCAGTCTCTTCAGCAAGTGGTGCTGGGAAAGCTGGACAGCTGCACGTGAATCAATGAAGTTAGAACACACCCTCACGCCATACACAAAAATAAACTCAAAATGGCTTAAAGACTTAAAGACAAGATACCACAAAACTCCTAGAAGAGAACAAAGGTGAAACATTCTCTGACATAAATCGTACCAATGTTTTCTTAGGTCAGGGTCCCAAGGCAATAGAAACAAAAGCAAAAATAAACAAATAAGACCTAATTAAACTTAAAAGCTTTTGCACAGCAAAGGAAACCACAAACAAAATGAAAAGACAACCCAGAGACTGGGAGAAAATATTTGCAAATGACGCAACTGACAAGGGCTTAATCTCCAAAATATACAAACAGCTCATACAACTCTACAACAAAAAAAACAAACAACCCAATCAAAAAATGTGCAGAGGACCTAAATACACATTTCTCCAAAGAAGACATACAGATGGCCAATAGGCACATGAAAAGATGCTCAACATTGCTAATTATTAGAGAAATGCAAATCAAAACTACAATGAGGTACCACCTCACACTGGTCAGAATGGCCATCATTAAAAAGTCTACAAATAACAAATGCTGGAGAGGTGTGGAGAACAGGGTACCCTCTTATGCTATTGGTGGGAATGTAAATCGGTAAAGCCATTATGGAAAACAATATGGAATTTCCTCAAAAAACTAAAAACAGAGTTGCCATATGATCCAGCAATCCCACTCCTGGGCATAAACCCAGACAAAACTATAATTCGAAAAGATACATGCACCCTATCTTCACAGCAGCACTATTTACAATAGCCAAGACATGGAAACAAGCTAAATGTCCACCGATAGATGAATGGATAAAGAAGATGTGGTGTATATAATGGAATATTAATGGAGTATTACTTGGCCATCAAAAAAGAATGAAATAATGCCATTTGCAGCAACACAAATGGACCTAGAGATTATCATACTAAGCAAAGTAACTCAGAAAGAGAAAGACAAATACCATATGATATCACTTAAATGTGGAATCTAAAATATGACATGAATCAACATTATCTATGAAACAAAAACAGACTCACAGATATAGAAAATAAGCTTGTGGTTGCCAAAGGGGAGGAGGTGTAGGGGAGGGAAGGATTGGGAGTTTGGGATTAGTAGAGGCAAACTTTTATATACAGGATGGATAAACAAGGCCCTACTGTATAGCATAGGGAACTATATTCAATATCCTGTGACAAAATACAATGGAAAAGAATATGAAATTATATATATATATATATATATATATATATATAAATGTTTACCTGAGTCACTCTGCTGTACAGCAGAAATTAACACACCACTGTAAATCAACTATACTTCAATAAAATTAAAAACTAAAGCAGACCCAATGTAATTCAAATACATGTGCAGAATTCAATTACACACGTGATTTTATTAAAGAATAACATGGATAAAAACAGGTGAGGGACTTTCCTGGTGGCGCAGTGGTTAAGAATCCACCTGCCAATGCAGGGGACACGGGTTCAAGCCCTGGTCCGGGAAGATCCCACATGCCACACAGCAACTAAGCCTGTGCACCACAACTACTGAGCCTGCACTCTAGAGCCCGTGAGCCATGACTACTGAGCCCACGTGCCACAGCTACTGAAGCCCACGCACCGAGAACCTGTGCTCCACAGCAAGAGAAGCCACCGCAATGAGAAGCTCGTGCACTGCAATGAAGAGTAGCCCCTGCTCGCCCCAACTAGAGAAAGCCCGCGTGCAGCAACGAAGACCCAACGCAACCAAAAATAGATTAAAAAATAAACAGAAACAGGTGAGATCTAAAATGCACATAAACAATGTAATTAATAAATTTAAGACAAAACGTATTAACACTAAGGAAATTTTTCTCTAATTATTATGTAAATCTTGAACGCTAGCATGTAATTATAAGAGTAGAAGGTGAAGACAACTAATTAGACTGAAGGAAGGTAAATAAATGAGTTACACATGTGGAATGCTTTACAGAGTTTTCTTATTATTTGATTTGTTTGAGAATAATGTGCTACTGTTAATATGCTATGCAAAAAATACAGCAAGAGCAAAACATATAAGAAGAAAAGAAACAAAGATGGAAAAGTATTAAGCAGCTGGCAATCACCATTTATATTTTGTCCTAAAGACTTGAAGCTAGATACATATGTTAAGGTGGGGGAAGTTATTCTCACATGTTTTATTACCAGTAAGAGACAATAAATGACACTTGTGTTTTCACAGAGGACAAACTTCTAAATTTTAGCTAACCCTGACATAATAAGCACTACCACCATCAATACTTCTAATTACTACGTGCTGGGCAGTGTGTTAAATACATTAAATATACTAACTTATTTGATTATCATAACAGCTAGATGAGACAGGTGTAATTATTATCTCTGTTTTATAGATGAGGAAACTGAGGTACAGAGAGGTTAAAGTAACTTGCTGAAAGGCACCTCGCTGCTAAGAGGTGGTGCCAGGATTTGAATCTGGGCTCCAGAGCTCATGTTTTCAGTCACTGTACTATACATCTTTCAAAGAAAACAAAATAAAACAAACAAAAAGGTATGTGTATTTTTTGAAATTTGCATCAAGTGCATTTTTCACATTTGCATATATTTATACTTCTGGAAACAGATTCAGTAAGTTGCCTTCTATCCAGTCTGTTCTTTTAGCTTTAGACATTAACAAGAATGTAAAACATTAGTTATTGATTGGTACAGTAACATTTTCACATTAGATATTCAAAACAGTAAACATCTATTATTTAAAATACTTAAGATTGCACAGCAGTACCTTGCACTAGACATGAGACTGTCATTTTGAAATAACCACTATACAAAAGCGTATTACAATAAAAATATATGCATACCTACAAAGCAATATTAATTATCTTTTAAAAAAGAAACCATCATTCAACAGTTACACCAGACATTAAAATAGTGTGTAATCCAAAGAACTCTGAAGTTGTAATTACATACCTAATTTTCCCCTGTTCTGTCAAGTCTCCATCACTATGCAGTATTGTTGTGAGCAATCTTAAAGTAGAAGTTCCTGATTTACTGTGATTATTTTTCATTCCAAGTAGCCATCGAACCATCATTTTAATAGCCTGAATCTATTTAAAATACAAATTGACAAATAAAACATTGCTACCATTTAAAGAAATTCTATATCAGCCTTGAAAAAGAATGAAGAAATGTTTTTAACAGATATTTTTTAAGAAAAGGAAAGAAAAAAATTATTTTTTTCTGCATGTGTGAAGATAACTTTTTGAATGTTTTAAATTAAAGATGTCTCACCCCCAGGTAGTTGACAAATGAATGATTTATCTAAAAACTGGTTCTTTTTGCTTTTTAAAAAATGTTTCCCCAACAAACACTTTACCCTTTAGAACCCATAGTAAAATCGTGCTAACTTCCCTAGTCCAGAAAGATCCCGACTGAAAATTATATTCCATCTTTTGTGTCTAAGAATTGATACCACCTTACATTTGTACTGCATTTGACAATTACGAAGTACTTAGTACTTTAAAACCTGTTATTGCCTCTAAGGCTTGCAACAGCCCTTTCAAAGGGGTGCATATTATCTCTTTTTCACATATTATCTTAATTTTTACAGATCTGAGGCTCCAGAGCTAAATGGGTTTTGAACAGTGGCATGTGGCTAACAGTCTTAAGATCCTCTTCCTGGGCCACTTTGTAACCATGAACTTAAGCACAGGCGGCCCGCCTTCTAGTGCAGTGCTGCCCAATTATACAAAACTGCTGCTTGAGACCAATGCTGAGAAAATAGGTTTATACTGGAACTCAAAATTTTCAAGCATCATTCAATGATGCTAAAGGAAAGACTGCCCTACAGGTCTGGAGAAATAGTATCAGAATCTGAAGCTTCAATAATGTGACAAAATAGTTCACAATATGAAACATAAACAAATACACATACAACGAAAGGATTTGCAAGAAATTATAATTAGAAAAACAGTATTTAATATATTTGTTCCTGGCCTTTACACCTTGGGCAGTGGCTTGATATGAGGTCTACATTACGGAGTACAGTTTTAGTAAAGCAATACTTTACAGCTGTGATGAGCAATCCTTTACCGATAACTCCTAATTCAAGAAATTACAGGTTGAATTTTCTTTAATAAAAATAAAACAATATATCAAATCCCATGGAAAAGATGAACAGTCTTAAAACCTGGACAACCATCTTTGCTGAATAGGAGAATGTACCTAAGAAAACCAGCACTGCCTTTTCCCATTAAAAGGTGGATATCTAAGAATCAGCAACATGGAGAAAGTTTTCAAACTTTGTTTTCCAAACTAGATTATGTGCAGCTGCCCACATGCCTCAAGTTTCTCATTATTGCCCTACACTCTCACAGCACAGAGGATAATGTCATACAATAAATATAAAAACCTGAATGATTTTAATAGCCGTATCTTTATAACAGGAACAGACATTTTAACACCTATAATAATAATACAGTATATTAAATATATTAAAATCAACAGATCTATGCATATCACTCACTTTGACCATTGTCTCAGGTGAAACTTCTTCATCTGGAACCCAAAGCTTAGTTGTCTTTTTTCCTGGAAGCTAAACAAAAATTAAGGACTTTAAAACACAAATACACATTCTCATGTGTAATTAATATTTAGTGAATGAATGAAATTTTTATCTTCTGCAACAACAGTCATTATACATGACTATGTTTTCTGTTACTTACTCAAAAAGGTTGAAAGGCCTGTCTTCACTAGCACCACAAATGAACCTTATACATCCATCACCAGCTGGTTCTTTGTAGGTGTGAGATAGGCCCAACTTTAACCACTTATATATATACTTCCTTACTCAATCCCCTTTAATCTACTGTTTCAATTATTTAAAGCAGTTGGCAAGTACTAAGATAAAAATCAATGGAGCCAAAAAGTGTACAGATGACCCTTGAACAAGACAAGTTTCAACTGCACAGGTCCACTTTATATGTAGATTTTTAAATGTACACCTGCTACAGTAATACACAATCCACAGCTCATTGAATCAGAAATGCCCCGTGGATAGGGAGGAACCACATACAGAGAGCTGAGTACAGATTACATTAGGATTTTCCACGACACAAAGGGCTGGCACCTTTAACTTCCATGTTGCTCAAGGGTCAGCTATAGGTCATAAATGATGAAGGAAAAGGTATCTGCAAAACATCTTGAGCAAGGAACAATTATAAAGGTTTGCAGAAGTAACAGAAAACATACATTAGTGTCTTCCTATTTAAATCCCACCAAAATGGCAACACACGCACATGCACGTAAACACACACCAGTTAGCTGGGCCGAAAACAAAAGGGGCCCCCTAAAAAACCAAAACCAAAGAAAAATTTCGAAAAGCAAAATATACAGTAAAAAAATATTAACAGAGCTAAGAGGGCTTACAACTCCAGAAAAGCACAGAAGGAAACACCCTCCAAAAAGCCTTTTTTTTTTTTTTTTTCAGCACAATCATAGTATAACCCTGAGATGATAAGCTGAAGGTATTAAGAAATGTGAATTTACAGTAGCAGCCAGGAAATTAAATAAGGTGACAAAAGAGCTGAACCCAATCTTGGAACACTGGAGGTCCCATTTTTACCTCGACCTGACAAGAGTAATTTCCAGTTGGAAACAGAAATCAAAAAGCACCTCAGGTAACCCTTTGGCAACAGGATAGGTAGCTCAAACATCCAGAAGGCAAACTCCCCAAACAGAGCTATTTATAAACAGCTTAAGAATTAATTCTTCAGCTGAGAAATGCCTTCAAAGTGTGAAGTGAACATAATGAAATAAGGATCTCATTAGAAACATACTGATGAAATTTCTGAACTAAGAATATCCAAAAAATCTCAAAGCTTGCATGGAGGAACCTACCAAAAAAGAAACAAGAACCATATCAACTTCAGATTTCTTTACACACCAAAAAACAATATTCTGATTAGCCAAGTGACTTGAAAAATAGAATTCTAATCTTCAAGAATGAGGAGGAAAATATTTTCAGAAATCAGAGAGAAAGCTTCCAAATTACAAGCCATTCTGAACAAATTATTCAAAGATGCATTCCACTAAAATATTTAATTCACAAAAAAATTCAATCAGCATAAATTATTACAAATAGAAAACAAAAAAGTTATCATAAGTAAGACCAACAGACAGGTTCAAACAAAAAAGTTATCATAAGTAAGACCAATAGAGAGGTTCAAAAATAATAAATGAAACCACAACAGATGCAACACAACCAAAGACAGAAAAAAATCTAAAACTAATGGACAAATACACTAGTCAAGATCTAAAAGCATTTAAACAGGATATGGATTTATATGGGATACTAATATAAAAAGGATATTGATGTACTTCTCTTTAATCTTACATAAGATATAAAATTCATGAACATCTGTAAAACTAGCAGTTTAATATCAAAACAAACCAAAACAAAAATGATTTTTTAAAAAAAGAACATCGAAAACTTCATCATCACAGCAGTAGACTTGAATATACCTCTTTCAAAAACTGACAGATGAAGCTGAGATGAAAAAAGGTAAGTACAGGAAATACATATAGAAATATAAGGAAATACATAGAGATAAAATATTTAAGGATTAAAAAAAATCAAAATTGGCCTTTCTCATAATTATGATGAAAAGTAAAGAGAAAAGAGTTTAGCAAGACAAGATGATATGAGATTAAAAACTACAAAATAATTCCCCAAATCCACCACAAAACAAAATAATTTTAAAAACTGAAATACCTAACAAAGTTGTGTAAGAGAAATATTTAAATTTTCTTTACAGAGAAAATTATAAAACTTTAATGAAAGAAAATTGTAGATGAGCAAACAAAGCAATGGGAAAGAATAGAGGCCATGTATGATATGAATGTTAGCACTGCAGATGACTGGAAGAAGGAGAGACCATTCCATAAATTCTGCTGGGAAAGTTGGTTACCCTAATGGAGAGTAGAAAGAAATGGAATCCTTAAGTCACAGCATACAAGAAAAAGCAAACAAATCAATTCCAGATGTATTAAAATTTTTATGTGTGAAAAGAAAACTTTAAAACTTTTAGAACATATGGGAGACCATTTTTATGACAATGGCATAGGAAATGATTTGTTAAACAAGATATAAAAGCATTAACTACAAAAGAATGATAAATGTAGTTAAATTAAAATTAATAATTTTTGTTCAAAGGACACAATGAAGGGAGTAAAAAGACACACCATAAATGAGATTTTATGCATTTTATGAACATACTTCAACATGTACCTGAAAAAATATTAGTGTGTGTAAAGACTACCTATGAGAAAAAGACAACCCAAGAAAAAAAAGCAAAAGACATGAAAAGGAATTTCAGAAAGGAGGCAACATGAATGATGACTAGACATATAAACTTTTTTAGTAACCAGGGAAATGCAAATTAAGACTATACTGAGACACTGTTTTATATCTAATTAAACGGGCAAAAATTAAGAAATCTGACAATAATGTGTGTTATACACTGCTGAGAGGAAAATAAGTTCTAACAACCATCTTCAAAAATAATTCAGCAATAAAGTGAAAAGTTAAATATGTGTACAAACTGATGTTCATCACTATATCACTCTTGTGAATGTAACCTGGAGAAATCTGTGCTCATATGCATCAGAAGGCCTCTATAAGAAATTCACAGGAGCACTGTTCAAAAGAGGAAAGAAATGGAAATACTCCCAATGTCCATTAGGAGAATAAGAGACATTTCACACAGTGATACAATACAAAGTAATGAATGAATGAACTACAGCTAGATTTGACAACAAGGGTTATTCTAAGAAACATATCCATAATGATAATATCAAGTCACCCAAGAATATATACGGTATAAAATAACTTTTACAAACTTCAAGAACAAGCAAAATTAAACAAGTACATGTTTAGAGATGAATATATGGTAAAATGGTGTTTTGTTTTAGTTAGGGAATAATAAACCAAAATTCAACAAAGTGGTTACCTGGGGCAGGAAAGAAACAGGAAGAAAAGTTTGGAGAATAATAAAACCAGGTGCTAAGAATTCATGGGTGTTGAATCTTTGCAGGCAAAGTTTCAAAAGAGGAGAATAATCAAGAGATTTGAGTCTGGCACTAAAACTGCTTTTCTTATATAAATGATGCCTGATTTTGAAAGTGAAAAAGGTTAAAAGGTTGAGCAATGTTTTCATCACTGTCACAGAGGTAGAAGGAAAAAAAAGTGGAATTCTGAGTTCAATAAAGAGTAGAGTCCTTGTTAAACACCCTAGACTTGTGGGGGGATCCCAAATAAAAACATCCTAGACATAAAAGTGACCAGAAAAAGAATGAGCCTGTCAAAAACTGAAGGCTAGCTTCCAATCACTGCAGTCTTGACTGAATGAATGTGATCTGACAGTAGCTCAACTGCCTGTCAGAAGCAAAAATAAATCCTGTTTGGAAGAATTATAAAATCACCCAGAGCCTCAAATTATCTCTACAATTTTTTGTTCACAAAGTCTACAGCTCAATCAAAAATAACATGTGTGCAAGATAAGACTTGACCAAAAATCAAGCGAAAAACAGACAAGAGAAAAAGAGCCCCTGGAGATCCAGATATTGAGGCTAACACACATAAACTTTAACATAATTAAAGATGTTCAAGGATTAAATGATAAGAAAAAGAATTTCGGCAGGGAACTAAAAACTATATTTAAAAACTAAAGGAAATTACAGAATAAAAATATATTAAAACTGCAATTAAGAATTCATATTTATAGGTTTAACATAAGATTAGACAAATCTGGAGAGAATGAGTAAATTCAAAGATGGGTCAGAAGAAAACAAAACTGAAGCATGAGCAGGCTGAAACAGGTATACCTCTGAGATACTGCAGGTATGGTTCCAAACAACCACAAGAAAGCAAATATTGCAATGAAATGAGTTACAAAATTTTTTTGGTTTCCAGTGCTTAGAAAAGTTATGTTTACACTATAACATGGTCTATCAAATGTGCAATAGCATCATGTCTAAAAAAACAATGAACATACCTTACAAAATACAAAACAATACAAAAATATAAAAAGAAAAAGCTATTACAATAGCACCTATTAACAGTAATGACTATTTGGGTCTTTTGCCCATTTAAAAAAATAGGGTTGTCTTTTTGCTGAGTTGTAATCGTTCTTTTATAGAGTCTAGATAAAAGTCTCTTATCAGATATATGATTTGCCAAATATTTTCTCCCATTCTGTAGGTTCACTTTTCACTTTTTTTTTCAAATTGATAATTCTTTTTTTAAAAAAGGAGACATAGGGCTTCTTCACAGTGGCTGAGAGCCCGCCTGCCAATGCAGGGGACACGGGTTCGTGCCCCGGTCTGGGAATATCCCACATGCCGCGGAGCGGCTGGGCCCGTGAGCCATGGCCGCTGAGCCTGCGCATCCGGAGCCTGTGCTCCACAACAGGAGAGGCCACAACAGTGAGAGGCCCGCATAACCCCCACCCCCCCGCCAAAAAAAAAGGAGACATAATTGGCATATAACATATTGGTTCCAGATGTACAATGATTCAATATTTCCATATACTATGA